TACAGTACAGAACTGTTAATAGGTGTATCAGCCAGTACATTGTCGCCATAGAGGATGATGTTAAAGGAAATGAAGGAAATATGTTTTCATTAATTAACATTTATTTGTTTTAGTTGTATGTTAATAGTTTTTGTGTCATCGCGACAAAGAAAGTAAGAGAAAAACGATATTCACAGTATGATTTATAATATTCCTCTAGATATTATACTTTATTTTTCAATTTGTCCAATCCATAGACATCTTTGAACTTTAGTTTCCATTTGAGGTGTATGTTGAAATTCTGGCCTTTGGCAAATTTTCATAGACGCCAGCTATAGTGAACAATGCCTAAGATAAATGGCAAGATCTATATGATGAAATATAACGTGTATTATCATGCCATGTCAATTAGTCGTGCAATTGATAATTAACTTGCATACACATTGTCTAAAATATTGACTATGTGATATAAATGTCTGGTCAACGGCACATAAATGACACTATGGTCTGATCTGGCCGGAGGTTCAAACAATATAATGACCAGTTACTTAATATCACTGTCAGCTTAAATACTCCCCATTTGGTTATATTACGTATTACATATAGATATATAACTGATATTTAATATTGAAATGTCGATTTGTTTTAAGATATATATTCCACAAAATTCGCTACGTGTGCTGAATATCAATGCTACTAGTGCCCCCGATAAAGCATTATGTAACATTTAATGTTACAATATTTTATCGTTAAGCTACAGGAGAATATATGTCCGAGAGCTGAGTGGGTATATATACCCAGCAAGTTTTTTGAGTGACCAGTATTGCCAGATGGAGCAGAATATGGCTGTCCAACTGCAAGTGCTGTTCATCCTTGGGATGGCGTCTTACGTCATGACTGCGATCAACTTTCTGATCAAGTTTCCCGATCTTATGAATCAGGGTCCGGGGTGTCCGAAAATTCCGGCAATAAAAGACTTTAATCCTGAACAGGTAAGTCATGTTTACTGATTTTGACCATAACTACTTTCATCAGCGGTCGATAAAGAGTCCAAGACAGGCTGGGGGCGTAGCAGTGTTGTTGGCCATCCAGGACTTCGGGTCTTCTCTGCAAGACCAGATGATTTGCGTGGCAACATACAACTCAACTGTTGTAGCTTATCTGCAGAAGCAAGGGGGCACCAGGTCTTACGTCCTGTGTGCCCTGGCCATTTGCTACTTTGCCAGGAAAAGTGCCTAACCATTCAGGTCAAGCACCTTCCGGGCAGACTCAATGTCCTTGCGGACACCCTGTCAAGACGTATTCGATGGAGTGGCAGCTCGATCCATCCATATTCCGAGCAATATGTCTGGGTTGGGACAGGCCTCATGTAGACCTATTTGCCACTGCCTTGAACCATCAGTTGCCGACGTTTGTGTCTTCCGTTCCAGATACAGCAGCATGGGGAGTAGATGCTCTGCTCTGGACTGGAAGGAGTTGCATGCCTACGCCTTCCCCCCTTCAACTTGGTGGCCAAGGCCCTCCAGAAGTACGAGGAGCAGCCTTGCTTCCTAATACTGGTGGCTCCCTTGTGGAAGAGCCTCTGGTCCTCCCACCCAGGTGGAACTTATTACGACAGCCGAGGTCAATAATCCTGCACTCCCACCCGGCTATACTCTACCTTCATGCGTGGAGGCTATCTCCGGTGGTCTCGCGCAGAAGGGGTTTTCTGGACCGATATCAGTCTGTATCGCTAGGTCCATCAGGTATTCTTCCGCGGCAGTCTACCAGTCTAGGTGGAGCATCTTCTGCGATTGTTGTGGTCAGAGGCAGGTTGATCCACTCAATGCCTCTGTTCCCCTGATTGCAGATTTATTACTGCATTTGTTTCGCAGTAAAAAAAATAGCTCCTGGTACCATTGCCGGCTATCGGTCGGCTATAGTTGGTATCTTATCTTATGCAGGGCGACCATAGTTGGATCTTCCTCCTCCTTGTCCGCCCTCATCAAAGGCTTTATCATTGAGAGACATAGAGTTAGGCGTCTACTGATATATCAATGGTATTTAGCTTTGGTTCTGGAGTCCCTTTTGGGTTCTCCTTACGAGCCTTTGAGTCAAGCCTCCTTGAAATCCTTGACTTTCAAGACTGTGTTTCTTGTCACCCTTGCCTGCCTCGGGGAGAAGGCGTAGCGAGGTTTATGCCTTATCAGCGCATTCCTCCTGTTTACGTGTCGACAGATATTACTCCTCCGTGACTATCAGGACGGAACCTTCTTTCCTCGCCAAGAATCAGGTTCCGGGGTTTTCTCCGGAACCTATCCGCACTCTTTTTCTCTGACCTGGTTGGTAAGGACGAGCGTAATCGTCTTCTCTGCCCTGTCAGAGCTCTCAGATATTATCTTGACAAGACAGGAGGGGATCGAGGATCACAGTCTGGACTTTTTCTGCCCACCAAGTGTGGCCAGTCAAGTATTTCGGCACAATCCATCTCCCGATGGATTTGCCAGGTTATTAGACTAGCTGATGAGTCTTCTTCTGATGATGTCAGAAGGCTATTCTAGGTTAGGGCCCATGAGGTTAGGGCTCTGGCAGCATCTTGGGCCCTTCTCAATGGTTCTCCCTTTTTAGAGGTTATGTCATCAGCCTTTTGGCGAGGACACACTACCTTTACAGAGTTCTATCTGAGATCACTGTCGTCCTTCTCAGACAAACTTTACTCTTTGGGTCCGGTGGTTGTTTCCCAGTCAGTGGCTTGCCCGACCACCTCAGAGTAGAGTGTTCTCTGTTTTTAGATTTTTATGCGTTAGCATGGCGACGGAAAATCTTTCCTTGGCAATGATCTGTATATCTTTTAATTTCGGATGCTCTTATATATGAGCTTATCCTCGGTACTAAGGTTCCAATTGACTGTGACCAGTGTACCGCCCTCCTGCATTAGCCATGGTCCTGTTGGATTGGAGGATCCACTAGGTAAGACGAATTCGCATACTAATTGGAGGTGGTAAGTATTGTTTTTGATATAGGATTGGTGGATTTTTTTTATGTAAAACCCATTTTTATGATAAAAATACATGTACTTACCACGTCCAATGTGAGTCCCATCCTCCTCCCTGGCTCCTCCGGCTCCTGTAGTCTTTTTCCTTTTAGGTGTTTTATTCGTGTTTCGAAAAGAGGAAGCTGGAGGTGCGCGCACATCCTACACCCGTTGGTCCGTTTTGTACAGGGAGTCGTTTCGTATCCTCGCGGGGCATTTGAAACTTTCGTTTAGGAGTTAAAGAACTAGTAGTCGGAGATAATTTGCATAATAATTGGACGTGGTGAGTAGTTTTATCATAAAAATGGGTTTTACATAAAAAAATCTCAATTTCCCCCCTGGGCTTTTTGACGAAAACAAATTTGTCAGCGAGATTAAGCTTACCCCATATTTGTAAACAGTGTTTGTGCAGAGAAAAAAAATCTCATCTTTCTAACGTGTACGGTAAATATATCGTTAAAGGTTTTAATTCCGTCATGTTCTCTTTTCCGTAAACGTTATCTTACATGACCGGATATGAGAGAAAGGTATTTCCTACACCCCTTTTTTACCCTGGACAGCTCTATCTTACAAACAGGGAAATGAGAGAAAAATACTCTTTCATGCCCAAGGGTGTAGGATAGAGAAATTCAAAGCTCGGTATTTTCAAATTTGGCAAAACCTTTGGCAAAGCCTCGGGGTTTACCATTTGAAATCCTCTTGGAATGTCCTACACACCTTTTCATGGAAGAGTCTTATAATCTTCCCTTACCTAAACGCTGGAATCAAGGGCGAGAGAGAAACTGCATCACTGCATTCTAGTTGATCCATATATAAACATCTCTAAAACAGACTGAACGTTATTGTAAAAGGCACCTGTTGTTGGAACCCCTGTATTGTAGGGGACTTTCTGTGTCATCTGCTAAGGGGGCATTGGAGAAACCCAAGATGATATGTTGTCCTAATCGCGACTCTTGGTATCTTTATGTTTATTTTTCGATACTTCCTACTCAATCGTCGACTATGTACCGTCCTCGTATGACCTTTGCTGTAACGAGAACGCTGGACCATAATATCATTTTTTACGCTCTTCCAGCTCATCAATATTCATAAACATTGCAGTCAAAAATTATCGACTTTACACTGGTTCTGTTGTATATCTACAGTATGCAGGCACATGGTACGAGATTCAGAAATTAAACAACACATTGCAGATAAACTCTAAATGTGTGTCTTACACGCAATCTGCAACAAGAAATGGAAGCTTCGATGTTGATTATCGCAGGATAATTACCTTGTTAGGGTAAGTATTCAAATGCAGTAGGACACGTGAAGAACATGGTTTTTTTATTTAAAATTTGTCATCTAAAAGGAAAATCATTGTTTACATTTTAAAATATTATATTTTGCTTTGTTTTATTATTCGTTTAGTTTTATGCGAGTATTACTTGTTCAACTCAAAGTGTTTACTCAGAAGTTGTTTGGTGCGCCGACAAGCACATGTTCATAACTGCAAATTCAAGCAATACTTTCTGGTTGTGTCGGTGGTAAACTCTTAAATACACGTTTCTAACAAAACTGAGTACACCAAAATATAAAATACATGAAAAGCTTTTGAGATTATCTTTGTTGCCTTCTCGATGTGCAACGCTAAGTACGTTTGTATAGATCAAAACACATACTCTCCCATAAAAAACAATAATGTACAGTTTAATACCACTCATTGGGATACTGTTTGTAACTTGATGATATATGCATGTAAATCACACAATAAATTACTGTTTTGAATTTTATTACAGGAAGAATTTCGACATAACAACAAGTGGAAAATTTACACGGATAGATAAGAAGCGGCCTAACTTGTTCAGTGTCGTAATAAAAAGTGAGTAGTATCTGAGAAATATATGCTGTTACCATTGAAACATAGGATCATCAGGTGTCAGATATGCATGTTTCTTTCAAGACAAACAGTCTGTAGCAACTTTTAATAAAGCAGCAATTTCATTTTCAATTATATCTCCGAAAGGTATAAAACCTAGGATGGCAAATTACATGCCATTGCAATGAAAGCATTTAAGGATATAACAAAAACACGTGCTACAATTTAATTAATTTTAACACCTTTTTATCAATCGGTGCAATACAAAAAAAAAGTACCCGTAATATTTCGGTGAATTTAAAAGCTTTAAGCTACAGGATATTTCATTCTTCTATAGCAAACCATGATAAATTTAAACCGGATAATTAAGCACTTTATATTGAAACCCCGGATTTGGCAGGAAACCCTGACTTCTATTTACAGTGTTCTTAAAACCAAACAATTACAGCTCGTAGTCATACGATATCAATCTCGGTCAATTGTGAAATAAGAATTCATGCAAAAACTCCAGCTGTCTTCGTACTAGAAATGTCTTAAAATATTAAGAAGCAAACACCATGGACTATGCTTGAGATCCGTCCAGTGCTACCAAGCACATTTACTTTCAAAGCTAGAGGCACTGAACTGCTATATGATGCGGACTATAATTGGTAAAATGTTGCTGTTCATTAACAACACTAGAGATGATATACTGCTATATGATTCAGCCTATAACTGGTAGATTGTTGATGTTTATTCACTAACAGACTAGAGATGCTAAACTGCTTTATAATTCGGACTAGTACTGGTATAATGTTGATGTGTATTTACTAACAGAACGACATATGATAAAAACTGCTATATGATACGGACTTTAACTGGTAGATTGTTGATATTTATCTACTGACAGAACTAGAGCTGCTTAACTGCTATATGATACGGGCCGTAACTGGTAGATTTCTGATTGTTGATGTTTATTCACTTACAGAACTATAGATGCTATTTAAAACGGCTATATATGATACGGACTATAACGGGTAGATTTTGATATTTATCTACTAACAGAACTAGAGCTGCTTAACTGCTATATGATACGGGCCGTAACTGGTAGATTTCTGATTGTTGATGTTTATTCACTTACAGAACTAGAGATGCTATTTAAAACGGCTATATATGATACGGACTATAACGGGTAGATTTTGATATTTATCTACTAACAGAACGAGAGATGCTGAACAAATAAATGGTAGATAGGGACTATAGCCTGTTAAATGTTGATGTTATTTACTAACAGAACTAGAGATGCTATCTAAAACGGCTATATATGATACGGACTATAACGGGTAGATTTTGATATTTATCTACTAACAGAACTGGAGATGGTAAACTACTATATCTTGGAGACAGACTATAACAACTACTCCATCGCATACACGTGCTCGAAGATGTTTGGTTTCCCACGAATTGGTACGTATGTAGGCATTGGAATAGTTCTACTAATGATCCTAGCCACTTGAACGGAATATCATTACATTGAGTGTTTTTATGTAAACATAGTGAAAGGGGTTTTAAACCAAAGTACATTGTAATTACGAAAAAATGCGACACTGTACAACTACGGTTTTCTTTTCTATTAGTTTCTGATTTTGTTTCAATACTCTTTTAACCAAACAAGACGAAATAAAGCAAAAGATGACGTAGATAGTTCTTAATCTGTCCCATACCATAACGTGCTTCACAACCTCTATCTGATGTGACAAACGCAGCGTCCTCGACGTCGTTTTGTTAACTATTGTTCTTCGGCTCAGGTTTTCTAGAACCGGGGACATGATGAGTGTTGTTGTATAGTGGTACATGGTCTCTGTTATCTGTGATTATTAATTCAGTTATAGCAATCAGTCCTTGGATTGTTGATTGTTGAAATAACAATACGCGTACAAAACAATTGTAGGTTTTGAATAAAAGCAATGCCATGCGTTTGTGTTCATATGACGTTTGAGATTGAAATTGTTCGACTCCCGAATGGATATTCACTCAGGCTAGTTCCTTGTGTGGTATTGCTTGTATGTGTAAATCCCGTTGGCTACTTTTAAATTTAAAAATTGTCGGTATAGCTTATGCGTAATTACTCATACAATATCATCAAGTTAATCAACCAGCACTCGTAGGGGACGTTTTTTTAACTGTTTGACAAATCCTAAAATAATTCCGCACGCCCTTTGTCCGCCTTGTTAAGCATCATCACATTTCCAAGATTGATTTGGTTTAATTTTGTTTAACGTCAATTTAACAGTTAAGGTCAATTGATGACTAACCCCAACACATTGTGTGTCCCTTTCATAAACATTGTTGAATATCATTAAATCGCAACTTAAACCTCAAAGGAAGTAAGGGATATGTATTTCCTCGAGTGTAACTATTGATCTTAAGTGAAAAGTGTAACTTTTTATTTTATTTTTAATATAAATAATATGTTTTAGCTTACATGCAGCTGTATATGTGTAGCGTTATTTAGGGTTTTATAGACCACTGTTCCTTTTCGCTGTAATTTCCACATGTTTTGGAACAATCGAGAAACGTTTTTTTGATTTTTCTTCTTCTTTAAGTTCTTGAGTCCTAAATGAACGCAATCGCCATTTGATGCAGAAGAATTTTTGAATTTACAAAAAACAAAAACAAAAAACAAAAAAAAAACAGGTGCTTCAATTTTTGTTTTTCTAATGATTTTTATACACTTTCCTATCTGTTTTATCCAATACTTTATCTTTTTTTCAGAAATGGCATGGCTTCTGTCCAGAAGTAAACAGAATATGATCTCCGAAAGTGAAATGGCTAACCTGTATTCAAAGATGACAAACCTCGGGATTGATGCATCTAAATTTACAGAGAGCAGCCAAGACAGTTGTGAAGCAGACTTTACAATTTAATATTTCTGTAGAATGTTTTAAAGTGTTTTCATGAAATACACAAGATTCTCACGCAGTTTAGCATTATTTCCTTTTTTTCGACGTTTTAAAGGGATATTATTGCAATCCTTAATCCAAGCAAAGGTGCATTACAAAATGAACTCAACACACACAAACACACACAAATGATAGCACCTGTTAGATTGGTTAATAAATACAGTTTGCCAAAAATGAATTACACTGCATCATACAGCTGTTTCGTCCTTCTAGGACTCACCGGTGATGCTAGGGCCACAAAGATGGATATCAAAATTGGTCTAAACTACTGTTAAAGTTGGAGGAGAGTTTGTGTGAAACCCCTTAATTTATGAATTTCAAAAATTAGAGGAGTAATGGTTGATAGCAAATCAAATTATTAGTGAGTTAGGTATAGTATGAACCGTACCACTACTAAAAAGGATTACTGTGGCTGTCAAGGTTACAGCAGTCATCGGGGATTAAACAACCAGCCAATACAGCACACCACCTTGTATCTTGAGATGATGCAATACACACAGGTGATACAATTGTAGCACCTAAACAATTTGGTTGTAGATACAGTGTACCAAAAATGAATCATACAGCTATTTTGTCCTTCATAGGACTCATCGGTGATAAATGACACAGAATTTTGGGGTCCTTTAAAATAAATTTACCTCATATATGTTACGATGATACTTTTGACTTCTAAGAAAAATATGGATTTCGCAAGCCATTATATTTTAATCATATTCTAAGAATACATCAAAGCCCTGTATAACAATGCACGCTCCAAAACGATCTTGTCATTAAAATGCTTCTTAGCAAACCAAGTAATGTACAAAGTCACGAAGTTAAACCATTGCTTAAGAAGTCACCTTTCTTATATTTTAATGTAATGTTCAACCTGTAAAGCATAATTTTCTTTCGTGATTTAAAGAAACTAACTAAGATCTGCTAGTACCTGCATTAGTGTAACCGTGTTCTACAGTATGTGTATCAACGATATAAACCCAAGCCATAGTAACGGAACCCTATCAAATTGATCTCAAATGGAAAGTATAAGTAACGTTATAAAAACACTCGATCACTTGTCTTTTCCCTTAATAAGAATTAACAGTTTATCGTATACATCAACACTCGCAAAACACAAACATACATCATAAGGTGCGAGTGATATAGTACAAAAGAAATAAATGAATAGCTAATAATGCCAAACCTAAAATATGAAATATTTTGAGACACGAATCGACTACAAAATATAAATTCACGAGCCGTATCTGGGTATCGAGAGCTTCTAGCAAACAATAAAATAAGCAGAAATTATTAAATGTGCTATAACTGTTGCCTCCATTTCTCAGTTGATTCCCTTTCGTAGGCGTCAGCTAGCTCTGTTTCCGTTCAGGAATGTTCGTACTGACTATGCACGAACTATGTCGACTGTTCTTCTCTTCTGTTAAGGTTATTGAATAAATATTTTTGCATTTTGTCTTTCCCGTATTAGAATAATATAAGTCTTGCCAACACCAACAGTATGTGACACCTAGACTTTTTAAAACACAGTCAGCACAACTTTAAGAATGGTACATGTACATACTAACAAGTTAATATAAGGAAATATTTTCGAGTTGGCAACCGTAAATACATGTATTCGTCAAGAGAGATAAATGACTCTAAAATCGTTTTACGTTAGAACAGAGGTTAAGCGAAGTGACCTTAATCATCTAACTTGAGCCAATGTAATTCTTTAGAATATTGTAAGTTAATTATGCTAATTTCATATTGACGATGTAGTGTTTATTGACATTTAAATACACAAGGTTATTGCAATAAGATGTGTTCTAAATATAGCGGCTTTGTTAGCGAGATAAAATCCAGGTATGCGAAGATTACGCAAGGTGAAAGAGATCTCTAAATAGGAACGTTGTATTCATAAATACGTTTATATAAAATACTGTAGAACACAATATGATGAAATCCGATAAAATATAATCAAGCCGATAGTATTTCTGAAAGATGATTTTGTGTTCTTAGAAGCATGTTTAGCTTTATAAAACATCGCAAAAGGAATGTCACAGCTAAACCAAACTCTTCAGTGCTAATTATTTCTGAATATCATGTAACTAATGAATAGGAATCCAATCAGCTTACCGAACACGTGTTTGAGCAACCACGTTCATGTCAATCTACTGAAATATAGATCTCGCACCGCTCCTTATACTAATAAGTCGCACGAAAGTGTAAGTTTCTACCTGGTTTTGCAACTGTTTTCACTTATTTGGTCCGTTTTAGTGTCCGAACTTCTTTGCTCAACCGTATCAATTTTTGTACCAATCTTTAGCATTTAATGTAAATCCTTTTTTTTGGTCTTAAATGAACATTTTCATTTGACCAAATCACATTACGAATACTGTTCAGCCATTCATCTGTTTGTACTTTTACTTTGACGTTGTAACAACACCACTGGAAGAAGTAGTATCTCTGATCTCGAAGCGACATCCGCAAACTAAACAAACATTCTCGGTACACATTTCACACTTTAGGTGATGTCATTACATAATCACTTAAAGAAAAGCGTAAGCTGTTATCTGATTGGTCAATGCAAAGGTCGCCTCAATAAGAAATGGTAATCAGGGTAAAAATTTCGAAACTGATCCTTTACTTAGAGACCATTTCAGATCACAGACATCAGGACATCAACAATCGTTTGGATCCCTATAAAAATTAGAGGAAGGAAAAGAACATAATATAAGATTTATTTTGTCTTTGCTAACAGCGACCATCTTGGGGAAAATAATGATCCACATGATATGTATAGAGTTTTGTCTGTAAACAATGATCCACATGATAGGTATGTAGTTGTATCTGTAAATTGTAATACGTCTGTCAGGTACCAATGTAACATGTCTGTCAGGTACCAATGTAATTCGTCTGTCAGGTACCAATGTAATTCGTCTGTCAGGTACCAATGTAATTCGTCTGACAGGTACCAATGTAATACGTTTGTCAGGTACCAATGTAATACGTCTGTCAGGTACCAATGTAATACGTCTGACTGGTACCAATGTAATACGTCTGACAGGTACCAATGTAATACGTGTGTCAGGTACCAATGTAATACGTCTGTCAGGTACCAATGTAATACGTCTGTCAGGTACCAATGTAATTCGTCTGTCAGGTACCAATGTACATGTACTATGTCTGTCAGGTACCAATGTAACACGTCTGTCAGGTACCAATGTAATACGTCTGACAGGTACCAATGTAATACGTCTGACAGGTACCAATGTAACACGTCTGCCAGGTACCAATGTAATACGTCTGACAGGTACCAATGTAATACGTTTGTCAGATACCAATGTAATACGTCAATGTAATACGTCTGAAATACGTCTGACAGGTACCAATGTAATACGTTTGTCAGATACCAATGTAATACGTCTGTCAGGTACCAATGTAATACGTCTGTCAGGTATTAATGTAATACGTGTGTCAGGTACCAATGTAATACGTTTGTCAGGTACCAATGTAATACGTCTGACAGGTACCAATGATCACAGATTTTGTCATATTTATCTATTTGAGTTGGCCCAAATTGAGGGTGGTAGCCTCTTGATGACAAAGCCATGGCCACAATCGCCAAACACAGATAGGTATCAGTTTTTGTTGACAATTTGTTATGAATCTCATGAAAAAGAAATTAATAAAATAAATGGATTTCTTTTTTTACTTTGCTATCTCTGATAATCCATTCCTCAGATGAGGTAAGGATGATATATATATACATAGTGGGCACTCTCGGACGTTTCGTCATTTGTCTGTGAGAGTAACGTCATCAATTTTTGAGAAAACGAGGTAATTTTCTCACACAAACCAATGACGTAACAATCAATACCTGCTCACAAGAGAAGATAACTCTGCAATACGCAAAGACGGAACAGGCCTAGTGTACGTATTTCATGCATTTATCTTACTTTTAAAAAAGTTCTTCTGGAGTCATTTTAACAAAAGTTCAAATAGCCTACAAAGAAATTTCCTTTCTGAATTTTTCAACACATACAAAGAGAATTTCCATCTCGGAATATTGTCATCGTTTTGCGTTACATGTACCTGATTTTTAAGAACATGATTTATTTTTTAAAGACACGTTTTGCTGTGCCATCTGCTTCTTCACCTCACCAAATTATTTTAGAGAAAAAAAAATGCATAAAATTCTCTTACAGTAATTGTGTGTATGTATATGTTTTTGTAATATGATCACTATTGGCATCAGAATAATTGAATGAAAAAAACAGTAAAGTATAGTTCTGGATAGGAAGATATTTCGGCTTATAACTGACATGTGCAAGTGGTATAAATACATATTACTAAATTTCAAGCGGAACACCAAATTAAGGCCTATGTCGAAATTCTTTTTTATAAATGTATTCATTATTGGATGTTCGACTGTTCCTCAGGACTTTTAACCCTTTCTCTGCACTTTCGTGTCTTTGAATGGTCTTTATCTTCTAAAACTTGAGAAAAGGCAGAATCTCTTAAATATTTGCAGCGTAATGTTATCTATATCCTAATTATATAATAATAACAGGACATTCATACGAAAAAGAATGACGGGAAAACCATAATTTTAGATTACTAAAAGCGAGAAAATTATTTTTTGGAAGGTTAGAAAAAAGTCAAGACATCACTTCTTTCTAGTTTCTAGTAAACCAAAATGCTACTTATTGATGGAATACGTGTAACAAACCGACAGCTTCACATGATGGTATGCATAAAAGCCTTACATTGAGATTCGTATTGTTATGATATTCCATTTACAGATTTCTTAAAATGTCATCTTGTTTTCGTCCCAAGCCATACACGGGATACCTTGAAATTGGCGGGAAAATATGACGTTGCATGCTTTATGACGTCATAATTATGCTATTTCCAATGTGGGCTGAACTTACCCCAGACATCCTATCCGAATTTATCCAAAGGCGATGCACATTAAGCCATACACTCTTAGTAAAGAGTTAAATAACTCTTCAAATACGGACATGTGTTTCCCATTTTGTTATAGCTTTATGAAGGGCATGGATTTTTCTTCCGAATGGTGTAAATACACATTAATTTTTACAAATGCTGTCTAGAACGACTAAAATGAAAATGGGACAAACTTTTCTCTTACCCTGGACAGATTTATCCTTACTTTTACCGGTGTGAGATTTCCTTGTCTCACCCTAGGGTTGAGACAAGCTACACGTGAGATCCCCCTATCTCAACCCCAAGGGGATGAAATATTTTATTAGTCCCTGTCTACCCAATATTTTGAAAGGAAAAAAATGTGTATATAGAATGGAACATGCAAGGATTGGATTCTAACCTTTTCTTCCAACTGTAAATAAAATGAAACAGTTTAATTCATGATGCAGAAAACTATATTCCCATGGATGCCCGCTGTCTAGGCCTCACCTATTTCATATTAAGACTCTTTCATGCCCAGGGGTAATGGATAGAGAAAATCCACCCGAGGGTTTTTCATATTTGGTAAAACGTGCCCGAGGCTTTGCCGAGGGTTTTGCCAAATTTGAAAATCCGAGGGTGGAATTTCCCTATCCTACACCATTGGGCATGTAAGAGTATTTAAGCTCAGAAACCATGAAAATGCGTTTGGACTGCCACCATTTTGAAAATATCAATCCCCCCTTGAGCTTTTTAGACGACAACGAATCAGCCTGCCGTATTAAGCATATCCAATATTGGCAAAACAAGTTTGCACAGGAAAAATAATCACATCGGTAAATATATCGGGTCCCTGNGTCTCCGCCCTAGGGTTGAGACGGGGGGATTCCCCTATTCATAACAATGGCATGACGTCACTTCAACAATACAATGACGTCACGTCAACAATCCATCAACAAATTGCCTGTATGTGTTTTGGGTCCATGTTTACCTTTATTTCACATTAAAATACTGTTAGATATGGGAGAAAAATAATCAATCGCTACTGGTTGTGTAAGCTAGAGAAATCTCAACCCTCGGACTAAGATTTTTTGTCCAGAACTCGGCAAGCCTCGTTCTGGACAAAAAATCTTAGTCCTCGGGTTGAGATTTCTCTATCTTACACAACCAGTAGCGATAGATTCTATTAATCCATACCTCATATCAGGGATGCATTCTATTATTCCTACACCCCTTGCTGACCCTGGACAGCTCTTTCTTACACACAGGGAAATGAGAGAAAAGGTAATTCAAACTCAAGGGACAAAATATTGAACAGGGACCCGAGGCTTTGACGAGGGTGTTTTGCTCAAAATTTTATCCCGAGGGTTTAAATGACCTTATCCTTACCTCACATCAAGGATGAATTACATTTCTTGCTTATTACCTAAAACCCGTAAAAACAGCTGCTCTTCTAGGAAAGTTGTAAACTGTCCGCGCGCTTGCAGCACGGTTGGCAATTGTAAATGACGTCAATGACCCTGACTGACCCCAAAACGTCATAAAATGACGTCACGAACGATAGAGTGACCCCGTAAGGTCAATTTAATTCCCATCAGTCTGCTCGTGTAAGCGATCCAGACCCGTGGGTCAGAGAGCCGGAAATGCGGATATGCAAGTAAGAAATTTCCTTCATCCCTTTCTTACCATTGACAGCTTTATCTTATACACAGGGAAATGAGAGAAAAAGCTTTTCCTACTAGTAACGTGGTTGCCCTCCGACATTTTGTGTATATCTTGTTTGTTGGTGTGTCTCGATCTCTCGACGACATCTGTTTTGGTTCATTTTAAACTATGGTGCAAGTCTTGAAGTTCGATTTCTGAATACGTCGTGGCATGATAGATATTTATTTTATTCCTCATGCTGACACTATTCTACGACTAACATAGAGTACAGATTGATATGGGTTGGTAATTACAGTGTCTATGTTATAGCGTTATTACATCATTAATTAATATCTCAAGCACAGTAACCAGGAGCCTATACCGACTCACAGGTCAGGCAATTTTCAAATGTTGTATCTTGATTTTGAATTTTTAATAATAAATTTAATCAAATAACTGTTTATAAAACACATGGGTTTAATAGGGGATATCAAACCAGAAATAGATCCATTAAACAAAATTCATTTAATACATTATAAACTTGTTAATTACAAAAGTGAGAATACTTTTAATAGAAAAAACTAGCAAACAGGTGGCGAAACGCTCTGAATTATTATTTTTGCTTAACTGTGTTGTATACCCTTTTCACACTTAGTAGTCTTTAATATATATAAATACACACCAGGTCTTTTAAGTTCTTCATATTAATAAATAGCCAAATATATCTTCAAATAACTAAGTATGTGTTTATCTTCGCTGTGTCGTTACAGGATCTCAATAGAAGCGCTCAATATATTGCACCTATTCTATAATAGCCACCACAAGTAGTCAAGGATGCAAACGCCAATATATATTTTAACACTCAATAACTCAATCGCAATATAAAATGTATTAGCATATTAGCACGTTACATCTTGATGGAGTATCGTAGACTTGTTGGGGTTCTTTTTTGTGTGTGTGTTGNGGGGGCGAGGGAGGGGGAATAGTATCAACATTTATTACATACTTACTAATAAAAAAAAAATCATGCGCGATACGACACAATTGCTCTAACCCATATCTGCCCTCGCCGTATCACACCCAAAAACCCGTATCAGCCCGCAAAACCTGTATCACAACCCGTTTAGAACTTTTTCGTTTTTCAACATTAAGAAACAAAGATCAACAGAATAAAACACGCCTTTTTCCATATCGCACCTAATATCAACCCTCGATCAATATCGATGCCTTCGGCCCTTGGGCTGATATTGCAGTCTCGGGTTGATACTGGGTGTGATATCGAAAAAGGTATGTATTATTCTTTATATATTTGCTGGATTTCGTATAACTCAAAATATAACAATATCTGATAAGTCGATTGATTTGTATTTCATTATATTTCATGGCAAATACATAGATGAAGTGTATATTCAACTGTCCAGGAATAAGTTTTGTTGTTGTTATTCTTGGCGTTTTGACACGATAAAGTTATCGTCCGCAGTTGGTGTTGTCAACCGCTTGGAACTCACTCAAGAGGAGTCCTGTGGGTGTTAGTGCGGTAGTAACTGTGGCCTCTTGGTTTGATGTCAATGCCGCAGTTGTTCGGGAGACTATCCATGCTTGTTCTGAAATGGAGAACGTGTTTTAAAGTAATATCTTAATGAAAAATTGAAAACAAACTGTAAATAGCTGTTACTTGTGCCTATTTTAATCTCAACCTAATTCGTTGTAACCTGTGCCATTTATAATCCCAACAATGAAAAGCTAACCTGTGCCATTTATAACCCCACAATGAAAAGCTGTAATCTGAGCGCTTTAGAAATCCAATTGGTTTGCTGTAACCTAGGTCCTTTATAATCCCACCCTGATAAGCTATAACATGTGTCCTTTAAAATATCACCATTAATAACTGTAACCTGTGCATTTTATTATCAAACCTTTACAAGTTGTAATCTTCTCGCTTTATACTTCCACCCTGATTAGATGTTACATATGCGCTGTATAACCCCCACCCCCACCCCCAATAGGCTGTAGCCTGTGCGCTTTATTATTCTTTATTGATAAGCTGTAACATGTGTCCTTCATATTCCCACCTTGAAACCTGTAACCTGTGAGCTTCATAATTCCACCCTGATTACCTGTAACCTATGCGGTCTATAATCTCAGCCCCATAAGCTGTAATCTGCGTGTTTTATAATTCCACCTTGGTTACTTGTGCGCTTTATATCTCATCCCAAATTGCTGGGACCTGTCACCTTTATAGTCTCATCCCTATTAGCTGTAACCAGTTCGCTAAATAACTTAACTCTGATAAGTTGTAGCTTTAACCTTGGTAATCTAATCCTGATAAGCTGTAATCTGTGCGCCTTTATAATCCCAAAATTGATTAGCTGTAACCTACGCGCTTTTCAATCCCACCCTGATAAGGGGTAGCCTGTGCCTTTTATAATCTCACACTTATTAGCAGTGATCTGCGCACTTTATAAGCCCATACTGATTAGCTGTAACCTGCGTTCTCCATAATCCCACACTGTTTTGCTGTACCCTGTGCCCTTTATAATCCCACACTGATTAGCTGAACAAGTTCGCTTCAAAACCTCACCCTCAGCTGTAGTCTGCGCGCTTTATAATCCACCTTGGTTAGCTGTAGCCCGTGCGCTTTATAATAACGCCATAAATAGCTCCTACTTGTGACCTTTATAGTTTCACCCTTATCAGATGTAACCAGTGCGCGCTATAACCTCACCCTGATTAGCTGTTACCTTTGACATTGTTAACCTCACCCTGATTAGCAGTAATCTGCGCGCTTTTTAATCCCACCCAGATTAGAGGTAACCTATGCCCTTTATAATCTCACACTGATTACGGTAATCTGCGCGCTTTATATGCCAAGACTGATTAGCTGTAAACTGTGCGTTTCATAAGCCCACACTGATTAGCTGTAACCTGTGTGCTGTATGATTCCACTATGATTAGCAGTAACCTAGATACAAGATACAAGAACTTTTCTTTAGAGTCGCATGCATACATTAGTTTTTGTGAACTATTATTGAGACAAATATATGGAAAATATACAATAAAAACGTAATAACATTACATGTAACAGGGGTGATTACAAGTATTGTATTCGGAAAATACATTTTAATCCTATCACTTTCAAAAAAATATTGTATCGCAGATTGCGAGATGATTGGGATCCCTTCCTACAAAGCCCTTAGTGGCATGGCACTTCAAGTACATTAAAGTATAATCAAAGTGTCGGTGTTTACAATTCAAGTGAAATAAAGCGCCTTGAAGTGCGATCACATATAAATAGTATTAATTTACTCATATAAGACACAAATCAAAAGTAAAAACGTACGACATGTACGTGTTACGTAAGACTACGGATAAAATCACTATCAAGTAGAATGAACTTACAATGCTAATGTAGTACAAATAAGGTCTGTGCTTTCTATTTTCATTCTATTTTAATGTTATCTGGACGCTTATAATCCCACCCTGATAAGTTGTAACCTGCGGGTTTTAAAATCCCATCCCTATTGACTGTTAACGCGCGCTTTGTAAACCTAACCTTCAACACTGAAAAAAACTATGTGCTTATAATCCCAACCTGGATAACTGTAATCTGTGCGTTTTATAATCCCGCCCCTATTGACTGTTAACTGAGCGCTTTGTTATCCCATCCTTAAATACTGAAACCTGGGCGCTTTATATACATACCCTATACGCTTTAACATGCGCGTGTTATAATCCCAACCTTATAGTCTGAAACCTGTGTGCTATATAATCCCATCCCTTTAGACTGTCATCTGTGCACTTTGTAACCCACCCTTTTGTACTATAAGATATGCGCCTTATAATTCCACCCATATGACTGTAACGTGTTTTTTTATAATTCCGCCCTCGTAGACTGTAGATTTTGCGCTTATTAATCCAATCCTTACAGTATGAAACCTTTGCGCCTAATAATCCCACTATTGTAGAATGAAACATGTGCTTTTTCATATCATCCATATGGAGTGTACATCCCACACACAATTAAAGTCAACATATTTAACAAAAACCTGACAACATCCTACACACAATCATAGTCAACATATTTAACTGAAACATGACAACATTCCACACACAATCATAGTCAACATATTTAACTGAAATATGACAACATTCCACACACAATCATAGTCAACATATTTTACTTAAACATTACAACATCCCACACACAATCATAGTCAGCATATTTAACTTAAACATGACAACATTCCACACACAATCATAGTCAACATATTTAACTTAAACATGACAATATCACACACACAATCATAGTCAACATATTTAACTGAAACATGACAACATCCCACACACAATCACAGTCAACATATTTAACTTAAACATGACAACATCACACACACAATCATAGTCAACATATTTAACTGAAACATGACAACATTCCACACACAATCATAGTCAACATATTTAACTTAAACATGACAACATTCCACACACAATCATAGTCCACATATTTAACTTAAACATGACAACATCCCACACACAATCATAGTCAACATATTTAACTGAAACATGACAACATTCTACACACAATCACAGTCAACACATATCTGAAACCTGATATCACGCCCCTACACAATCACCGTCCACATTTTGACTACTTCACACATTCATACCATCAGAACAAATCTACATTAACCAAAAAATGCCTTGCGTAGCATACATCAACACTCACAAGCTAAAACGTCCAAACACATTTCTTTTCACCGTCGTCCATACTCTCAAACTAAAATATTGCCAAAAATCCTAAAACACTTAACTCGCACACACACACACATTTTAGCATAAGAAAACTCCGTTGCACAACACACATCAACATTCACAAAACTTACACATCACAACACACATAGCCAAAGGACGTAAACACACATAAGAAACCGAATACGACAAAAATACTTACATACTTACCTCTAACTCAAACACACACTCGCAAAACTCTACGAGATTTCATATTGCTTTATACATACCAACTGCTGTTCCATAAAACAGGTCTCTGCACGAATAGGTGACTGCAATGTCGGTGTAGTCTGTATATAGGACTCTGATGTTTCCCAGCGATATCCATGTATTTTGTACTACAAAAGTTATAGAGGGATAATAGTTATAATAACTTTGATATGAAGGAATATTACATATTTTAATCATATGTTACCGTAAAAACAGTTATCTCCCCTTAATTTAAGTTTTGCCGGCAAGACTCCAAAGTTTTCCTGTGCCACTGCATTGTGGATTTAATTTCGTTCTGGATACAACTGTAGCACAGTTGGCCCAAGACACTTGTGTTGATTAGGTAGCTAGTTTAGACTGATAGTATAAGGATCTGAATCTGATGCGTCTGAACGGAAAATCTGCAGCTTTGAATGGCGTAAAAAGGAGTTCTAATACATGTAAGTGGCATCTTAATATGAGAAAACTTATGTTTATTTTTCATCTTTCTTACATCCATGTTCAGAATTCTGCTTAGTAAGTAACAAAAAAGTCAAACCTTTTATTTCGGATTCGTAAGATTCATCCATCCTAGGCCTCAGCCGTATCCTTGTCGTCTTCTCAAACGAGATGGGCCTGCAAGCATTGTTGATATCATCAATTTCTCTTTGAGCATTTTCGACGAATTGTGTTGCTGTTTACATTCACTTTATAATACACAAATTAGTTTCAGATTTTTTTTATTTATCTTTAAGAAGTGACACCTATCAATATATTCTTAAAACGAAACTATGTTATAATGTTTCTTAAAGTATCGTTTTCGGAAACATGGGTTAAAATAACTTTCAAGAAATTTAGTTCGTGAGAAATATTTTAAATTCAAAACGAATAAGTCTTGTTTAAAAGTTAGTGTGGTTAACATCGTGTTGTGAAATGTACAACACATTTCTATACTTACCAAAATATTATTCTTCCATATGCCAAAAAGAAACCCCCGCTTCCTCGTTCAAAGTATTTGGTTGTCACACATTTTGTGTTATCCTCAAAGAGGAAACTAGTCCTCTTTATCTCGTTCCAAGTGCCCAAAAACTATTGAAACATAAAAATATATATAATATAAATTGTTAAATTGCTATTTGTTTGACATTTTACATCTAGACAAAGTGAATATTGTGATATGTATTAAAAGTGAACTCGACCAGATTGGTAATGGAAATAAATACTAGAGCCGGGGAATAAGAATTATGTTAAGAGATAACCGTTATTCAATCACTCTTGACGATGTTAACAGTCAGGGTAAAAATGTATAGATTACCACACTGTGTTTTCAGGATTTGTCGCAAGAAAAAATGTTCATCGCAATCACTTGGATAAAATCAAAAGGCCAACTTAGGTGGATTCGAGATTTAATCCACGTGCGAGCGATGTTGTTCGAACGACAAACCCGGAAAACATTGAGTGATAAACTGTTTATCATCCATGTACTACTCCATCTATATTTCGCAATTGATAAAAAAACCCACTTAGATACCATATCTTCCAAATAACTTCTAGGCTTCAAGATCATTGAGATCCTCGGTCTGTGACAAATGAGAACAAATATATAAACAATATTTGTACCACAGAAGGTTTCCGTGGAGAATACCATGAATTGTAAAACCACGCGGAACGATATTTTTGAAACATCGTTTTCTCCATTTGCACACTTATGCTGAAAATGGTGATGTTATCCTCACAATTTTGTTTTCAAAACTTTACAAATATTAACTTTTTCCTGACGCGGATCACCTTAGAAATAATGCGTGTCCTTGTCAATGCTGATATCATTAAGAGTTTGAATAGCGAAACCAGCGTTACCTTGTTAATAGTGGTGGCGTTTAATGTCGGAATAAAGATATTGCGTTACTTTGTCAATGCCAATGTCGTTAAGAGTTAGGATGGACATATACGACTTACCTCGGTTTCGTTTAAGGCATTACCCGTCGAAAAGGTTGGACATGGCGTTAAACGATATCGAAAGCCTAAATCTACATCTGTAGCCAACAAGGGGGAAACCATCCCAATGATGATCAATGTGAATAGTTGGACAGCCGTCATCTTCGTCGTCTTACAAATGTTGGAATTTCAAGTTAGGTCTTGGTTTATATACCCGTATTATTCCAGTACAACTAACATAGGGAAAGCTTAACAAGAGAAGAGGATACATTTTGTATCTCTTAATATATTCCTCAACACCATAAAAAGCACATGAATCGATAATATCTCCCTCTTAAGGAATACAAGTTAATTGTGTCATTTAAAAAATCAACATCCTTGTTTATATACATATCCGATTGTAATTATGTGAATACTTAATTAAGCTAACAAAGCTATCAAATGAATTGTTACACCCTCAGGTCCCTCACGTGACTTTTACCTTCTTATGTGTAAACCAATTAAAGCACATTAGTTCTGCAGTATATACAACATATACGATATGAGATCATCTTAAAGGTAACAAATTGATTATACTAATTGACGAGATGACATATCGGTCATCTCTCTACCTGCAAGCGTTACAGACAATAGCAATCTTAAAAGCGTACTTGTCAAGGCTCCAATACATAGATATTCATTATAAATGAAAGGGAAATTACCAACAGGAAGAAAAATATAATCAAAATAGTGATATCTAATGTCGCAGTACATTTGTGTCTTAGTATTCTGGTTATCAAAGCATAGTGAATAATTAGTAATAACCTGGTTTTGCAATTGTTCAATTAACTAAACTACACTAAATACTTGATAGATAATGACCTGACTGATAGTAACCTGGTGAAATATACATTTAACTAAACTACACTAAATACCTGATAGATAACGACCTGACTGGGGGTAACCTTGTTAAATATACATTTAATTAAACTACACTAAATACCTGATAGATAACGTCCTGACTGATGGTAACCTGGTTAAATATACATGTAACTAAACTACACTAAATACCTGATAGATAACGACCTGACTGAGGGTAACCTGGTTAAATGTACATTTTACTAAACTACACTAAATATTTGATAGATAACGACCTGACTGAGGGTAACCTGGTTAAATGTACATTTTACTAAACTACACTAAATTCCTGATATATAACGACCTAACTGGGGGTAACCTGGTTAAATATACATTTAACTAAACTACACTATATAACTGATAGATAACGACCTGACTGAGGGTAACCTGGTTAAATATACATTTAACTAAACTATACAAAATACCTGATAGATAACGACCTGACTGCGAATAACCTTGTAAAATATACATTTAACTAAACTACACTAAATATCTGATAGATAACGATCTGAGTGATGGTAACTTGGTTAAATATACATTTAACTAAACTACACGAAATACCTGAAATACGGAAAAGTGATCCAAGCAGTTGCATTCAGTATGATACATGTTTTTGAATTTGACATTTTTATTACAGAGTGATTTGATGAATCAATGTCAGTATGTTTGGACCCTTCCTCCCAAAACTCAGTCATTTAATTAATAATGAATGCCTGAAATGATTCCTGCTTGGAGTTTATTTAAAAACTAAACATACAATGTACCTGTATATTTATATTATATATACCTGTACATTTTATATATACCTGTACATTTTATATACCTGTATATTTACATTTTATATACCTGTATATTTTAATTAACAATGGTATTAAGTTAAACCAACTTTTACAAAGCCCTTTCCCTCAATATGTACATTTTCCTTGTAGTGGTTTAAGATTTAAAAAGTATATATAGTACATTTATGCATCGCATATCAGAACGATTAAGAAAATATAATACTACAAAATCTGTATTGTATTTTGTATTATGTTATCTTGAACATTTGTTTAGCATGGTTACATTTTGTTTATCATGTTTACATCTTGTTATTTACAGGGACTTGTCCAATTTTGAGTTTGTGAAGAAATAAAAGATTTGTCAACTTCAGTCAATTGTTGGGTTTATGTTCATACACATATTCTATACTGATATGAATCACAGCACATACATGATATGCACACACCCACATATTATGTTCATCAATATGGCGTACACTTTGAACACGGCGCACACAAGCTATCTCCAACAGTATAGTGTAGAACAATTCTTTGAGCAAGTCTGATGAAAATACTGATAAGCTTTTCTTAATTTATGCTCAATTTAAGTATTTTTGAGTTGTAGTTAGATCCAGCTGTTGACATAAGAAATTTCACGATATTGTCTCACTTGCTTTGCTCTGACAACTGATATGATGTTTAAACTTGACTGATATTCATTGTCTGAACGTCCTAACATAATGTACTTGCTCCCCTTCTGTCTCCTTCGTAGTAAGTCCACGGTCTGACAAGAACGGGCAAAAACTGCTTCATAGCTGCTAGTATTAATATTAATACCCGGCCTCCCCTACCCCGGCCGCAATATATAACAAATTCTCTCGTCGTCAGAAAGCGACGTTAACGCAGCTACATAGGTTCTACTTTCCATGATTTAACTTCGTCTGAAGATACAGATTGTCGCCTGGATCCATGGTTAATTCATATATGAGTTAAAATGGTAAGATTCATATAAAAATGTTCTATAAAACGATACCAAAGAATCGGAAAATCCATCGACAATATTGACATTCGAATGTTTACATCGAAACCAGAAGGAGGCTACGATTTTTAACCGGAAAAATAATTTGCGGGCCGCTTACATGACCATGCGAAGTGTTGATTCGTCTATTAAAAGCCAATGCATGAAGTGATGAAAGTTTTTGTAGATTTAGTTGGTTTTGATTCATATATTCAAATGAACAGAATAATATAAATATGAAAATTCAATATTTAGAATATACTAATAATTAATAACTGAATAATTTGCTACTTATAATTTTACTGACCAATTAAGGTACGTGTATAGACATGCATGCATCAATCAGCACACGACGCTGCCCAAATACTCGTATATAAGTCATTGCTAAACTCCCGACCGATTATTTCATGCATTTATCTATTTTATTTGTACATTTATTTTGTTTTAATTTGTAAACTTTATTATACATACATGTATAACTTTTTTTTTCTGGGATAAAAAAGCATTTCACCACTCACATATATATATACATATATATATATATACATATATATATATATTCTTAACTTAACCTGTACATACAAAATGTAGCTATCGATCGTTTTCTTACATAACCAGCAAAACGCACATTCAACGCTAAAGTTTCAACGGACATCAAACAGTCAACGCAAACGCAACGGAAACACAACGCAAACGAAACGCAAACGGAACGCACTTTTGGTAAAGAACAACGGTCCATGGTCTGTAAGTAGAGGCATATAATGATGAGGTAGTAATTGGAAAAGATTCATCAGTTTGGTATGAATAATAAAGGTCAAGTTTGTTTGTTTTCAATTCTTGTTTGTGATCAAAACTGTATAAGGTAGTAAGTAAAAAAAACACAACAAAAACATGGAAACTAAGACCATTTTGCAACGAAATGATCACTCATCCCAAACTCATCAAACTCATCCCAAACGGGTTTGTTCACATGTAATTCAATACATGGAAAAGGCATTTGTCGTGGTGATATACGTGTTAATAGAAACCTTTAAACCGTACAATGTGTCTTAATAGATTGTGAGAAGCTAGTAAATGGATGAATAGTTGATTACATAAGTACTCCATAGTCAGATACGTTCAACTGACCTTTATTTGCTAACCGTGAACAAAACACGTGTCCAACATTTTAGAAATCGTCAATTAGGTTACTAATTGATTTCATTAATGGCTAATATAAAATATCAATCATGTCTGTACTTGTCAGAAATATTGGCAAGCTTATAAGCGTAGATGTCAAAGACCCGTTATATTTATCCCCACCATATTGTAAGAAAAACAGGGCAATGCAATACTTATAATTGATCTTGAGGTGGATTCACTTAATAAACAAAAATAATTCAATTTCAAATATAGTTGAAAGTCAACTGCACATACTAACACATCAGAAATATTTCTGACTAATGTAAAAATTACGAGAACTTCTATAGCTTGATATATCAAATACTATTATACTCTCTGAACGAAGACAATGAATCGAATGGTTAGAAATTGGAAATGATTAAATGTTAAAAGAAAGACATGTATATTGCAAAAGAGAAATATAGAACATTTTCATTTGTATCTGCGTTGTAATAGAATATATATATTATTATATATGTTATCAATTTTATTGTATCCGTGATAAAAAGAAAGCGTTAAGAAAAAGTTAGGGCTTTCATAAAACGGTTTCTGAAGCTCTCTTTTCGGTTGTAACTAATTCCATTAGCACCATCTCCAACCCCATTTGTTAGCTTAATTGTATTTCACCATCGTAGTTTTATGACTCTGAGCTAACCCCTCCAAACCACTATTTCTGCACAATGATATCTGATAATAATGTTTTACTTTTGGTTCTTTTGTTATCATGTATCATTTAGGGAACCGCTGTATTGTTTTGGTTTTCGTTTTTGTCTTTAAAGTCACATTTTGTGTGTTGTTTAGTTAGATGTTTATTTAACCTGATAACAAATACTCAGCTTGTTATCTATCGGGTATTAAGTGTAGTTTAGTTAAATGTATATTTTACCAGGTTACCATCAGTCAGGTCGTTATCTATCAGGTATTTAGTGTTGTTAAGTTAAATGTATATTTAACCTGGTTACCATAAGTCAGGTCGTTATCTATCAGGTATTTAGTGTAGTTTAGTTAATTGAACAATTGCACAACCTGTTTTAAACCGATATCACAATTGAACAAATCCGAATGTTCACATCCGTTTTTAACACATGATTTGATTTTATCATATAACGTAAAAATAACAATGATTTTTTTTCCTTCCAGTAATGTTGCTTTTTTGGAGCTTTTTCTACAGACCAACTCTCCACACAGAATCGAACGCCTTACTAAAAACGATGAACGTACAATAACTTTTTTTCTATTGAAAAATATATTGAGATTAAGGAATACAATACAAAAATGTTATCGGTTGTAGATTGACCCTTTCTAAACCCATTACTAAATGTGAAAGTGATTCAGTTATATCAAAATATTTTTTATTTATCCAAGTCAAATAAAAATGCAAGGATTGTTTAATATATTTTAATGTAAAAATGTACACAAAAGTTTGTAGATTCCTAGAAAAGCTTGACAAAGTATTAACTTAATCTCTGTACCAGGTTGTGCTCCTTCTCTATGTAACTATGCTATAGTCAATTATCATTATTTGCAGAAAATGTTGTAATTTTGTACTTATTATCACATGCCATGTATCATATTTACTATATGTATGTGACCTCTTGTTACACACGTAAGTGTGTCGGAGTGAACGAATAAAACTGAACTTAAATATCAGAATTTAATTATATTGTAATGCTAGGGTGATTCAGAAATATAATTATAGTTAATTGGATCCACAATTCGGCTAAGGCGATAGCCAATGGGCGTAAATGTACGCATCGAGAGATGTCATGTTATTTGAGGGTCCCTTTTTTCCAGCATGCTTTATTCAAGATGCCCCCAGTTATTTCCCAAGACGTGTTCCCAAGATGGCTTTCAAGTTGACTGCTCTCAGTTATTTCCAAAAGGGATGTTTGTTTCCATCTGTTTTAAAGATGGGGCCCATTCCAAGGGCTGTCTTCAATATATTACAAGATATCATATCGAATGGATTCCATACTGAAAATACACTGGCCATAGCCGAAGATGTCTCCTTGCAAGCTCTTAGACAACCCTATCAAATGCCGGTAAACTTGTAGCTGAAGTTATTTAACAATTTCTAGTTATTCTACAGGTTTAAAATAGTTACGATTTAGGAAATAGCTAGAATTGTCATGAAATACGTTTTAAAGTAAAGAAAACACCTGATAATTGTTGCTAATCGTAGACTCAGTCAGGGCCCGTATTCATGAAACCGTTATCATGCTCAAGCATGGATTCTGTGTTCAAGCCAGCTTTCTTGTAACCCATCTAAATCATGTCAACGATCAAAAAGTCAAATTTAAATATCGAAAACAATATTCGGCTTCAAGTTTCTTCAATTTTTCTCCAAAACTTTAACAAAATCAGATTTTTTAAATAATTCATAACTGGAACAAGAAATTAGACTTGAGCACAAAATCCATGCTTGAGCATGAGGTTTCATGAATACGAGCCCTGGTGTCATGTCAACTATCTGTTAGTGTGACGTCATAAACCGGAACGATAACTCTTGCATGCAATTACTATGTGAATATGCTTTTACTATAAAATGTCAATTTTTAATCGTTTATAGATAATTAATTGTACACAATTTCCGCATTTATGAAATTGATATACATTAATGCAATACTAATCTATGTTAGCATCATTTTTATTGACATTATTTTGCAAAAGTTGCGTTTTTAAGTCTTTTCAATTTTGTATGGGAAATAGCACGTGACGTCAACTGTTATCTTTGTGCCGTTCTAGATATTGACCAGACCTGACGTTAATAAGCGGGAAATGTGAAATTTGGAAAAGACATAAATTAGCGCACCATTCAGTTTGTCTGTGACACATGTGGCAGTTATACCAGTTGGTCTGCCACATCTATGCAATTCATTGCTTAAGTTGACATTTGTAATCTGGGAGTTTCGAATGAATCTTTAGTATCATAACCAGTCTCATCATCATCATCATTCTCATCATCATCATCTTCCCAACCCATCGTTTTATCTGCAATATTTTCTACTATTCGTTGTACGATTACAGATTCCGTTCGAGGAGACGTCACGAAACGTCTTCTTTGCTGTGTGGTAGGATTTTCTTGACCAAGAGTGAAAGCTACATTTTGCATTTTTTCTAAATACGATCTATTACTTATCCAACTTTGAGGAATATTCACGTCTCTCGGAGCTATATAGTGCATTACAATTTTGGCATAATGTACATGCATCTATTACTTAATGTTAAAAGTGATCTCACATGTGTGTTTCACGTTCATCTTTCTAAATAATCATTTCTTCAGTTACTTTATTTTACCACAAAGCGCTTTGAGTAATTTTACAAATTATATAGGGCGCTATATAAATGTTGTATATTATTATTATAATTATTATCATTAAAGATATAGCGTAGTTCTGAATGTATTTAGATAGATAAACATAGACATGTTTATTTTTTTCACTTTAAATTCAACTAAAAACACGAAATACCAGTTTGCAGTACATTTACAATATGTAACTTAATGAATATTTATTTGATATATATTATTTCAAAATTTGGCTTGTAATTTAGAAATGATTTTCATTTTATGTGTACAAAACATTATTTGTTTATATTTTGAGAAGTCTGAGGTAGTTTCCAACATGGTAAAAGTGTTAGAAGAACGACTTGTACCACATCAGTTAATATCCCACATGTATATAAGAGATAGTTTGAGTACGCTGTTAGATATAGAATCAACTGCTACAAGTAAACTCCGGTCTCCGTAGGTTGTTGAAGTAGGTACGTTGCTATGAAGAAAGGGTAAATTAGGATAGGACAATGGAAATCGTTTCCGATTACTGTACAGCTAAGAAGTAAGCCATTCCTGTTAGTCTTGTTGTAAGTCAATATCGAGGAATGTGGCTGAGGTAGAATGGTCTGCAATGACCAAGCTGAAGCTGAAGACGTCATGGTCAATAAATGTCTTCCTATTTAAAGACAGTGCATTGTCGATATATGTCATTGTGAAATTGAAGGACTTGGCTAGGTTTTTGTTACCAGTCCTGATAAGTTCTTCAATAATTCAGCCTTTGATGGAAACAAAAGCTAGTTTTTGTCTGTCTCCCGATCCCCCCGACAAAATACCTAAGAGTAAGCGACACGTATGCTCCTGCTCATCAAATATATATGTTTTATTATATATACATTTATTATACATTTGTTCGATTTATGGCGTGATAAATGGGTATATAAACCAATCAAATAGCTGTTTATCAGCAATTAATCTTACAAACTAACCACAAAACATATTTCCACGCAAAATTCTTGATACTTTTGCTTGATATAACAGTACCTTTAAACTATATCTGAAAAAAATGTTTTTTTCGAGAGCTTCACAGTGCCACATCTTGTCTGATCTGACAACACTGTACGGAGCTTTCTGTCCTTGAAGTGCGCCTCCGTCAGCCTCTCGATCGTGTAGTGGATCGAACCGAGTAACTCCCCCGTCTTTCTCGTCAGCACGGATATATGCTCTGAAATATAACCACGTGATAGAGTATGTAATGAGTCAAACAGCCCTGTAGTACACTACCCATAGAGAATCAAGTAATACCCAGCACGAGTATCTCCTATAATAATAGTATGCATGTAGCAAGGACCTACAATGTTCAGAGTTTTCTTACATTTATACGGGGCATTTTTTGTACAAAAGGACCTACAATTTTATCAATTATGCACTTTTTTGGATGTATATGTGATGACATGTTACTTCTTCGTGGTCATCATTAATGCAGGTTTATATTATAAGACTATTTCATGCCCAAGGGTGTAGGGTAGAGAAATTCAACCCTCGGGATTTTCAAATTTGGTTTTTACAAAATTTGAAAAACCCTCAGGTGGAATTTACCTATCCTACACCCTTGGGCATGACAGAGTATTTTTCTTTCATTCCAACTACCAGAATAAGCTCACAAACCATGAAAACGCGTTTGGACTGGCTACAGTACCATTTTGAAAATATCAACTTTCCCCTGAGCTTTTTTGACGAAAACGATTTAGTCAGTGAGATTAAGCATACCCCATATTTGCCTTTTCCACATTGCGGCATCGGAGTTTTCCAAATTCTTGACGTCACGTCATTGTTGAGCCATTGTGACGTCACGTCACGGGAAATGGGGTGTAAGTTTAATATAGAGGGAATCTCAATCCGAGGGGGAATATTCGTAAGTCGTCAAACACGAGGCCTCGGCAGCCAAAGGTCTTCTGCTTCATATTTTATCCCTTATGTTTGAATTACCTTATCCGTACATCGCATCAGGGATGGGATCTATTTTTTACTTATTACCTAAAACCCGTAAAAACAGCTGCTCTTCTAGTAAACTTGTAAACTGTCAGCACATTTCTCATTTGCAAATGAAGCCCGGATGACAATTGTTAATGACGTCAATGACCCTTACTGACCCCAAAACGTCATAAAATGACGTCACGAACAATAGCGTGACCCCGAAAGGTCACTATAATTCCATCGCCAGTCTGCGCATGTAAGCGATCCAGACCCGTGGGTCGGATAGAATTTCCCAGCACCGCCGGAAACGCGGATATCTTGGTCTAGTATGCAAGAAAGAAATTTATTACATCCCTTTCTTAACCTGGACAGCTCTATTATCTTATACACACGGAAATGAGAGACAAAAAAAACAACCACATCCTCCGAAGCAAAATCCTCAAATGTTTTATGAGATATGCAATGATGATGTTTTTAGATGGATATTATAAGAAAATCGTCAATAGCATTTCAATTTATAATTAAGGTTTGAAATGCATCTTTTTAACATTTATGAGGGTATATTTATATTCTATGTTGCACTTGCCTATATGTTGTAAGTAAACCAAGCTGCAGTATATGATACTGTATACTACAATTAAAAAACAGCTGGTACAAGGTAAACAAACATGGCCGCCCGATACTTTCGGTATCAATAGGCCTATAGTCGGAAAACATTCTGGGTTCGTTAGCATTTAGCAATAAAGGTCAACGCAAAAAAAAAGCAACTTGACAAATTATGACAAGATAAATGTATTATAAGATGAGTAGGTACCACAAAATTATTGTAAGAGCCATTCTAGATACGAATTTACCAAGCATGTTAACGTCATCACACAGGGGATCGGTTTCAAAGATTTTGAGTTATGCATAACATCAGTGAATAACCACAACACTAAAATTTAGCATTTCTAAAACCTTGTAAAAGTCGAGGGTATCGACAAGGTTTTAGAATGTGTATAAATACATTTTTAAGAGTTGTGGTTTTTCAGTGATGTCATCCATTACTCAAAATCACGAAACCAAGCCCCTGTGAACGTCGTCTGCTAGCGATGCTAATCTGACCGATTAGACATGGAATCTATTTCAAACGAAATGTCCTTGGAATCGTTATCACCTACTGAAAGGACAACTTTAATTTAACATTTCCGAATATACATGCTTCTGAATATAACGTAATATCCCAGTCGATGAAAACATAAGCGTTTCCGAGGAAACAATCAAGTCCGTTCAGCGCCGCATCACTTCAAAATACATGTAATCTATCAATGCGCGAAAAATAGCTTTAATTTTAAACAAGCAGAAGTTATGCAATTATCAAAAAAAATCAACATATACACACTCATATGAAATAAATAATAAAGTTAAGTTTGTGTTCAAACGATTTTATGTGCGTGTGGTTTTCGATGACACGAGGGACTATATTATTTCTTCTGGAAATGTCGGCTGTTCTGGTATTTGAACTAACTGATGTCACTGATATGATAAGCGGGAAATTCAAACGTATTTTGCTTCAGTTACTATACAAATCAAAATATGTACATGTAAATGTAAATATAAGCATTGAACCGTTACCAGATGCAGTATACAGTCGATATAAATGCAATTTGGGTGACAGATAACTAGAATGAATATTTATCTGTCACCCAAATTGCATTCATATCCACTGTATACTGCATCTGGTAACAGTTCAATGCTTAAATGCAACAGTTCCGTTCAAACATATTCCATGATGCGCTTTAAGTTTGAACGGAAATGACGTCGCTGTCAGATGTATTGGCTGGAGCAGATGGGTTCGTTATAAATGTCTGTGCCTGTTGTTGTTGTTAGCGCAGAGGTCATGTTACGGTACATGTAGTACTGTTAATATTACTACACACTTGCTTTTATTGAATCATAACAACATTTTTAGTTGGTACTGTTATCTAGAGGCACTGCAACACAAATGTAAATATATAAAGATAAAATGTTTCAATTGTTTATTCTACATAGAATTAGAAGCAACATCTAATACATTGCCAGTATTTAATACTCTGACATGCGTATTTAAAGACAAACAGACAAAATAATTTCGCTGGCATAGTCAGGTGTATAGTAAGGAATGTTAGGAATATTGCAACTTCTTACCGTCAGCTACTGAACATGTGTTGCTATACTGACCTTCAAAATAGACCGGAACAATAGGATTTGGACTGCATGAATACACCAGGGCAAATCTCAAGTAGTCTGTAGCTAGGACCCAATAGCTTGCAAGTACTGATCCTAAAAACGATTGGTCAATAACGGTCAAATCAATGTAATGAATTCAAAACTAAACAGAAACTGTAGGAGTCATGAAAGTTCTTAGTTTAAGGTGATGGTAGGATAGTTTCATCTTTCTTCTATTTTTTCCCCTTTGTACCAACTATTTTGACAATATTTTATACATAAATAATATTTCATAAGATCATTACCATCATTAAGCATATAAATTAGCCATTTTTTGAGACCGCCATTACAACCGACGTAAATTATCGGAAGCGACGTCTTTATATATACAAACCCGGAGAAAACTTCACAGCGAGCTTAGCTGGCTCTTTGGGGTCAGGAGTAAGAATGTTTCCATTTACAACCGCCTTGTATCCGGTCCTGCAAAATATAACACAATATTTGCTACCGCATTAGACATTTCATGTACTAAGACGAAACGTCCTGCTATGTTTAATTTATCAAGCTTTCAATTACATATTTTATTTACATTTAGTTGTGTTTTCTTTCAGTTTTTTGAAAGGCTACCTAGATCTGCACCTGTGGTCATGAATTAACCGTTTTCGCGCTTAAGTCAAATTTCGTGCTTAGGTAATAAAAAAAAATAACGTTTTGTCAACATTTTATGATCAAATTATTCACACTTGACAATTCAGACCATAACGCATGATTAAAGCAAGTGACTAGAAAATTGGTTTGAGCATAAAGTTCATGCTTGAGCAGATAATGGTTTCATGAATACGGGCCCTGGTTTCGCCTCCACAGTTTATCAAATGATTCTCCCTTTGTCGATGTATTTATCCGTTTCATATACTTTTGTCCGAGTACCAATTTTGCTATTGTATGTTGACACTGTCATATTTACATTTGTATATTCGAAGCTGACCCTAATAAATACTTAACACGATCTAGTATATAACAAATGATTTATTGTCAAATACTTTGTGTTACATTTTTCGTGAGTATGCGTTATTCTTTGGTGGATGTGGTGGTGGTGTTGTTGAACCAAGACAGGTGAACAACAAACCCTTAAAATCGCGCCACCTCGTAACAACTGCTCGATCTTACTATCTAGTCACTGTATAAACTTGATTAGTCACCAGACAAGATGTTTTTGAGCAAAGATAAAAATACATCGAAAAATATTCGAAAAAAAATATATTACGACGGAATTAGGAAGATAATAGAGATTATCACTACGTATTGTGATCTACTATTCGCCATTTTCAACACGTTTAAACATAAATAACCTTCAACAATGGTAGGACAGTGCACTGAAATATCGAAAGTGTCTTCTTTTTCGCCGTACAAATAAATAATCGGAACATATATATTTAATTGTTGCAGTGGCAGAAATCATCTCGCATGCTACTTTTTATGTTATTCTATTCTTTTCACGGTTCTTTTAGTATACTTTCATTACCCGTAACACATATTTACACACATTAAGTTCTCAAGTTTTCGCATTAGAAAATGTATACACGTAATATATTTACTTACACATATGTAATTACAACATAGGCGTCATAGTTATGACGTCATTAAGAGTTAGATATATTTTCATTAAAACTTGATTATCTCATTATAACGAGTAAGTAATCTCGTAGAAAGGACGTAACTAAGAGATAAAATTTAATGTTCATATTTTTCTTCTCGTGGGAAAAAAATGAGTTTTGTACAAATATGACAATAGCTAATTAAAATGAAACTTCTATTTATAGAGCCAAAACGGCTATCGGATAGGGTGTATAATTAAAATCAAACTAGAATTTGTAGAAACGCCCACCTCAGCCTATGTAGGGTCGCGTATTTCCCTCATGTTATAGAGGGCCGGAGTACTAGTTATGACGTTAATCGACGACAGACCGATATGAAAAAAGTCGATAAAACTTTAGAATGATTCGGACTAACTCACAACTTGGCCGCTACATCTCGGCGAATTCTGTCAAGGCTTGAAATTAGATCCGATTCATAACGGAAAATGATTGAGCACTACGTATGGTGGCTGATTAGTGCCATTTTCACCTTTTCGCGATCATAAATGCGAAAAAGCGAAATTTTAACACCCAATTTTCGCTCTAATCAACCACCATATAGCTACGTATACAAAGGGAGACTACTCTTAGTCACGAAGTTATTTTATTATGCTCTAGATTGATGTGCGAATCATTGCTTTAAAAAAATAGCTTACACTGTAGTATGCTATCATCCACCTTAGTCAAAACTTCCTGAAACAGAATCGGCATATTAATATCACACAAAGACCTAATTTAAACTTTCAAACCAATCAAATTGTATAATCAACCTCAAACAGTGAGTGTTTGTTGGTATGTGAGTCATGCTAGGCACGTTCAAGATCAATCTGTTGGTTTTCGAAAACAAAAAGCTACTTGTTAGCCGCTACTGGTTTATCAGAATGAGACATTGCAACAATATAAGACACAACACCCCCGCCCTTACCTTACCCACCGTTCACCCATTATTGGTACTCGGCCCGGCAATAACCGGAACAAGGGCGTACAGCACCATCAATCAATCATGAAACGAGAAGTGAAGGCAAGCGCCTTAAAAACTCGTACAAAATTACGTACTTGCGTTGTATGGAGTTGACCCGAATGCTACCGTTTGTGGTGCTGCCTGGGTATAGGACGATTTCAGTTGTAGGACACTTAAATTCCAGGGGAACGTGACTGAAAGATTTGGCAGGTATCAGTGTAAAATGTTCATGCCAGTTCCCAGTAAACTGAAAATAAGATATTATCCGTAATACTACACGGTGATAGAGTTTGGGAAGTCAAATACTGATGAAATAACAACTTAATGTAAAAAGGAACAAATCATATGCGCTTTTTTCAGATAAGTGATATACTGTTTGGTCGGTATGGTCAGATTTATGGGTTTTAGAGTCCAATAAACAAGTGATGTAATTACTTATTTTTCACAATTTTTAACTTTGTCATAAAAATATAGGTTCATATCAACTTATGACTTAATCGAATAATTCACTTTTAGGCAAAGTGTGGAAATTAAAGGCACTGCCTCTTTCATTTGGATTTCCACCTTTTTGTCCCCTCTCACTGAGGAAACCTAGAAGGGCGAAACAGCTGTATGGAGCAGTGTACTTCATTTTTAGCATGCTGTATCTATTACCAAATAGCATACGTGCAATCAGCTGTGTGTCTTTTGATATGATGTCAACGTAGGTTACTTGTATTAGACATGTGTAACAGCCAAAAAATATAAAGGGAAAATACTGCCTCAATGGAGAGGTCCAGCATGCATTATGTAACTCACGTGTTTCAAATAATTCCACAAGTGCTCTAATCGGTTGCCCCCTCCTTCTCATTACATCGCCAAATTCAAGACGACTTGTAAGATGGTAAAACAACTGAGCCTGATACCTTATCCGTGGGTTTGTTTGTTTCTTTTTTTTTCAGTATTTCCCTACATACCTTCCCGATTTCCCAGACAAAGCAGAATCGTTGTGTTGTATTTTGAATATCTAATATTCCCACAAGAACATGTTCATAGTGACTTCAACCAATCGGATGTGTTATTGCTCTTGGACAAAGTGGTAAGAATTTTTAAATGTATGACAAAAGTGACCACATAGACATACAATGAAATGACTACCTAAATGACAGAATAAACCGACATAAGACGGTTACTGTTTTCTATAGCTTTACCTTGTTAAGGTTGAAGTTCACCTGCGTAGGAGGATTCGGGCACCCTCTAGTTCCTGGCTCACCCTCCTTAGACTTCGCTGGATTCAAACCGATGACCAACGATATAATTCCGAACAGAAGAGCGAGAAACATGAGACGGAGTGACATACTGGTTACTGTAAAAACGGACCACGACAGCCCCAGATCAACTGGCGTGTGGTTCACACGATCACCTTTACTTTGCAAGTCAAAAGCGTAACGATACATCACACACATTGATTAGTCACATGATATATCATCGTTACGATCATGACATGTTGATGATTATTTATAGTTACAGTTTACTATTGTATGTCTCATTCACTTGACAAGCTTTGTAATGATCCCTTAAACATAATGAACATCGATATTGAAGTTTAGAATAAAATACATATTTACATGTAATATATACGTATACATACATTTTTATATTGAAGATATGCGTATAAATTGATGTTTAAAATACATATATTGAAAATATATTATCTATTGAAGTTGGAAATGTAAATGTATTGAATACCTTCTTATATAAGTGCTTTCGTGGTTTAGAATATAAATCTCCATTTTGATAGCCCATATGTCATTGTTAAACTACATCTAAATATGTAATAACGTTAAACAATGGCCACCACAGTGATATGAATTGTATTACCGATTTATTACAACAGACGTATAATTTGACAAGTTGTATGTGTCACTTGTACTCGATTGTCGTCAGAATATGATTCAGATTGATAACTAATTTGATTGGTGCTAATGATACCATACAGCACTGCACTACTCATTCCATATATAACAATATCTCCAGAGTTGCAGACGCATACATAAACATATAAGGGATATAAGTCTATATTGTATACAATTCGTGTGATCGTTGCTCTTTCTGGTCTGATTCGGGTGCGCTTAAACTAATTGCAAAGCTAAATGTGAACTAAATAGGCGACCATCCTTCTAGAACTAGAAGTTGGTAAGGGCTGATGGTAAACTTTCCATAATTTTGCTGCAATATTTCTGAAAAACCAGTTTGTGCAGATCACAGTAGTAGAAGATTGTGGAGCAATGAACTAGATTCCATGGACCACAGTGGTTGATAAAGGATGAAACGTCATTATTACGGTCCTTTCTAAGTAAGTTTCTATTTACAAAATTCTTTCAATAAACCAAATAAAGATAAATCAATTATCATTTGTGTATGTTACATATGATATTTATAATTAAAATTGTATTGATATATATTATATAATAATCCCTTTTGTAGAAAAAGAAGGATTTAAAAGGTTTTCCTCTATTTATACAAAATTGAGTCCCCTTGGCCCAGTGATGCTCCAGACCAAATAAGGATAAAAACCCTTTCAACGCTCCGGTAGAAGAAGGATTTTAAAGGTTTACATCTACTTCCCCTATTGAGCCCCACCCCTCTGCCCCCAGAAGGGTCCCACCTACAATTTATACATCATTTTATGCATCATTGGACCAATAAGCTTGAGTCCCCTTTGCCCAATGAAGTTCCTTACCAGATTGGGATAAAATCCCTTAATCCCAATGGTAGAAGAAGAATTTCAAAGATGTTTACCTCCATTTCCCCTTTTGGGCTCCGTAACTCTGCCCCAAGGGGGCCACACCTACCGTTTATACAATATGAGTTACCTTTGCCCTAGGATGCCCCCGACAAAATTAGGATGAAATCCTTTAATCCCTATTGCAGAAGAAGGATTTTAAAGGTTTACCTCTATTTCACCTATTAGGCCCCTGCCCACAGGTGGGCCACACCCACCATTTATACAATATTCAGTCCCCTTGACTCAAGGATGCCCCAGATAAAATTTGGATAAAATTCCTTAATCAAAATGGTAGAAGAAGGATTTCAAAGGTTTTCTCCTATTCGGGCACCACCCCTCTGCCTCCAGGGGGCCACACCCACTGTTTATATAAATTTGAGTCCCCTTGGCCCAAGGATGCTCCAGACCAAATTAGGATAAAATTCCTAAATATCTACCGTAGAAGAAGGATTTAAAGGTTTAACCTCTATTCCCCTTATTGGGCCCCGGCTCTCTGCCTCCAGGGGATCCACACCAACCATTTATACAAAATTGAGTTCCCTTGGCCTAAGGATGCTCCAGACCAAATTTTGTCGAAATCTACAGGGCCGTGACGCTGCGCCATGGCATAAGCTTACTTGCCCTTCGCGCAGGTAAGCTAAAAAAGAAAGAAAAAATGGCCATGTTATACTTTTTCTTTTCACCCAACTGTATAACCTCGATACTCTAGGGGTTACGCTCACTTTAGCTTTATCCACACCTTGAATATGTCAGCAAAATTGAAGGCATGCTACTAGCTATGTGGTTGGTCTCTGGTAAAAAAAACACCTGACCATCGTTAAGACTGGTGCATGTCCTTTGAAGTTTACAAAAGAGCAATAACCGGACTTTAAAGCCGGTCAATTTTACCGTTACGCGACCGACATTTCTTTGGATGTTCATCAAAGGATCAAACTAGTCTTCTCGTCTTATCCACAAGGTGGTGCACATAGTTAAGGATGAAGAGGGCGATATTGAGCGTAATCCTTTAGAGTGCACATAGTTAAGGATGCAGAGAGCGATATTGAGCGTAACCCTTTAGAGTATGACCTAACTGGAACTTGACTAGCTTGTAGCTTTTTACTGTTACGAAGTGAAAAGAATGACCCAACCATGTGGTTCTCGAGAGGTCGCTTAAAGCTTTCAACACATCCAATATTTGACTTCTAGGAGCTTAATTTAATACAGGTAAAATCTTTCATTCCAGCAAACTACCTGCTGCATATCATAACACAATTAAGCCATTGTGGTTTTTTGCCCGCAGAAGTCCTAAGCTTCAATACTTGACCACATGACTTTCAATGAAGGTCAAGATAGTTTTCTTTTAGGTATTGTTTGTTTTTTGGCCCATCAACAGTTTAGTAATTCTGAGCCTCGTCATTTCAAATTACATTTTACCCTTTCTCCCTTGGCCCTCGCCCCACCCCTTCTCTTTCTATCAATGTTCCAAACACCCGCTTCTAAAGTAAAACTTCAGTGATAAGTATTTTGTTTATATAAACTTTTCATCCATATTTCATAACAAGGTTACCGCGAGCGGTATATAATACGCCCGTCACACATTGAATGAGCAGTTGTTTGTATGATTGAAATATATGAAGTATTTGTGAGTAATTGATATTAAAAGAGAAATCATTCAACATAACTGGTAGATCGGGTCGAGCGGACACTGTTTCGACAAGTTATGCATCGCATTAATGAAACCAAGGGTAATAACTCCAGTAATTACGGTCGGATAATGGCGGTTATCAAACTTGTCCGTGGTTTCATGGTAATTAACCTTGTTGTGAAGTTTGAAGTTAATCCGTTAATAATTACTCGAGATATCGAGCGGACACTGTTTCGGCAAGTCCATAAAGGGGCATAACTCCACAAATTATGGTCGGATAATGGCGGTTATCGAACTTGTCCGAGGTTTCATGGTAATTAACCTTGTTGTGAAGTTTGAAGTTAATCCGTTAATAATTACTCGAGATATCGAGCGGACATCGTTTGCCCACCCGCCCGCCTGCCCGCTCACGTGATAACATAATACGTCCGCGTCTTCGACGGGCGTATAAAAATAGTAACATATATCTATATTGTCAGAATTTGTGCAAGTTTTATGATGGAAGGGGTTTTATGAAACTTTCGCCTGCTCCTACTGCTGTGTTTAAATACAATAAAACGAGTTTGATGTAGAACATGTGGATCTGTAGAGGTTGTTTAAAAATAAGGTTGATTATGGCCAACAGGTGAGCTGAAAATTAAGTCTCATATGGAGGAGTCTGCAGTAAACATGCATCCTGACAAACTGTTTAGTTTTCATTTGGCAAATTCGTGAGAGAACAAACATGAACAATTTAAATGTGTGCGTGAAACTAGGGCTATAACGATAGGCATACCTCTCGATACGATATGTATCGCGGTACGATATGATACAATATATCGTTGCAGCCCTACATGAAACAGAATTGAAAACACGTTATAACATATTATTGCACAATCTTTAATGTTTCTATTAACACAGTGATATCTAACGCTTTGTAGCTTTACATGTATTTAAATATATTTCATTTCATATGTAAAGCTTGGTCATTCATATAAAACATTCATTCAACATCGTATCCCCTTTCAATCACTGACTGATGTATCTAAATATTACCAAAAAGTCAATAAAATAAGGCGACTAGGTACATTGTATTTATACTAGTAAAACTTTGATTTATCACCTGCTTACTGCTGACTTTCTAACTATCCTCTTTTCCTTTTCAATTCCTGTATACATCTCTCTTCATGTCATGCCAAATTTCCTTTTAACATCATAATTTTGATGGTGGCAGTATAAAATATTTTAGTATCTAAAACCATTTAATATACACTTGTACAATGTACAAAATTATGTGCTGCATCCAAATGTATCTCCAATATAACATTCACTTGTGGCAAACTTAACAAGACTACCTGGTTATCACTCTGTTAAATATAAGTCAGTGCCCAGTCTAGCATTCATTATAAGTTCCCAAGGCAAACATGAAGGCAGCATTAAATTGGAGACCCTTCTGAATGTCTAAACAAAACATTTTAATAATGCAAACTGCATATATCAAACTGCATACGGAATTAACGGGGGAAAAAACCAACATGCCTAAACAGACAGTCTATCAACTTAAGTATCAAGAACGATAGACAAATACCAGCTTAACAACATCAGTAAGGGATTGCTTGATTTGAAACTTTTTTCCGATATTGCTCTGACATAAGCATTGATGAATTAAAAAAAACAAATTCTTCAGGGTATGAAATAAACCAACTTGATGTACAAACTTTGATCCGATTTGCCAATATATGCAGTTTCTATCACCTATCACAAATGAGAAGAAAGACGGACTAATGCACTTCATCTATATATGAGGTAAATAAGCCATGATTTTCCCCATTCGCTATAGGTACATATGCTTCGGGGCTTTGTTTTCCAGATGAGTGAAATTTATCGATTGTGATACAGGGAAAAACAGCTGTAAAATGATTTGCTACAGCACAATATTATGACAAAGTAAACATAGATCTGGTATACTTTGTAAATACATCTTAATTACAAGAACATTTCTTTGGTTGACTTGAGTATTCAATATAGGTAACAAAAAACGCCATATTTATACTATGCACATTCTAACTTTGATCCCGTTATAAAAAATAAATACTGTATGTTAATAATATATTCATATCTCAATATAAACCCTTTCTCCAGTCAGTAAATAAATTAGCTTTATCTGACAGGTACATGATATTGAACACTCAAGGCTGTACAATTTCAGTATTAGAGCACCAGTCTACAGACAGATTTTGAAAAATCAGCTACTTAACCAACCTAGATTTTCATCGGATATAGTGTTTGCCAGCCTCGACATACAATTGACTGGTCCTGAGCATTGGGCTAGTTATAATGCACTTAAAAGTCTCTAGAAATATTGGCTAAACTTTTCTTTTATAAGGTATAAAGTCACATCTGACAACACGTTTACAATCCACATACACACTAAACTAATAAAGCCTATCCATATGGTATGAATGTTTTTCAACCTTGCTTCAGTAATATCTGAACTGGAATGTGTTGCGTAACTGTAAAAAGTATAACAAAATATAAGTGAAAGTGAGGACATTTAACACGATATCACCAAATCGAAATACACAGTTTTACAAAAATATGTACAGCGTCAGCTAAGAAAAAAGGCAAAAAGTGTTTGATCATATCATGCAATATGTAAAAGTATAAAAAAAATCAGACAACCTCTATTTAGAGACCACCTGTGTTAAGAGACAACTGTTGAAACTCCCCATAACAGCAAATTTCATTTGTGCTGAACCTATATGAAGACACCATTTGCAATAAGACAATATCATGTACTTCCTGACTTACTTCAAGAAGGTCCTAATTTTTTTATTTTGATTTAAGGACTGAAAGTGAACTCCTTCTACAAGTTTGACTAAATCAATTATTGATTTCCGATTCTTGGCCCTGGTAGTTTAAAAAAAAAGCTTTTGTCAGAATTACCACTAAAATATCATCATTACAATAATATGTTTGCTAGGTTGGCCATTGAAAAAGTATAACAACCAGTATATTCTAAAATATATTATAACTGTGAGAATAATCACAAAAATGTTAAATTTAGGGCAACCCATAAGACAATAAATTTGCTGGGATGTTCCCTTAAACTTCATTAATGGTTGGAGGGAAATTGAAAAAGTATTACTGTTAGATTTGCTAAAAACATAAAATAATTGAATTGAAAAAAACATTTAAATTAGATTTGTACTGTAATAAATACATAAGTACAGTATACATAACATATTGAAAGAAACGACTGATTTGAGTGTGACAAAATCAATATTCATGTACCATATGTATCACGCAATAAACCCTGGGTGGGCTTATTGCTGGATAAATAAGGTAAGTGAATCGCTATTGGGATGAAATCTTTCATAAGTAAACAGTGCATTGGCTTACAGTGCTTTGGTAACATTGCATAAAGCTAATTTTGAATTCTTAAAACATACTTGTACATACTTTTCAATACAAAAAAAAAAATCTAACAAAATAACTTAAATTTCTATAACTCATCCTTTGGTAGGTATCCCCCATAGTTTGTTGCCTGGCTGCCGACAAATTCATCATGTTTGTCAACCATTTCCTCCTCGGAGAGTTTGCCATCCTTGTTTGTGTCTGCATGCTGTATCAGATGTTGTGCCTCTTCTAATGAAGCTTCCCTGTTGCTAGGCAACACCCATTCCACGATTTCCTCACGGTCAAGCTTTCCATCACCATCCCTGTCATAACTGCTAAACTGCTCCTCTTCATAAATCTCCATTTCACGGTCTCCCTCTCCATCTGGTAAAAAGAACAGATAACAAAACATACAATATACCAAAAATATTCAAGAATGAAACCTAAGACACAATGGCAAGTATCAGCAGACATATCAGTTTTTGAAATAAAGTTTTGTATGTCACATTTAATCTAATAAGCACCCAATTTGTTTTCATCTTTTGTTTATGGACAGGACTCACTTGTGATTGGTATCTTTTCAATTGTACTTTATTTCATTATATTTCAAATGCAAGGATATAATACAAATATGCCCAAAAGTTAATATAAAGATAACCGCAAAGGAACATCAGGGAACATTATAGAGAAATAATAGAGTTATCATTTATGATATAAATCATGTGACTTCAATTATTTGCCCTCACAGATAACAATAACTAATGTGCCCCATTTTTCTTTACTTCAGGCGACAAATTTTGACAAAAATTGTCCTGAAGAAGCCCACTGTTCAGACGAAACCTGTAGAAGTTTCCTAATAAATAAAACTCAACTTATCCCAAGCTTGTTGCGACTGAATTGTTACAAATTTGGACAATCAAATCTATTAACAAAGACTTTTCAGAAAAAATCAATACCTATACAACTATTGTTAGACCCTGTTTTAGGGTCTAGTGCTCAGAGCTCTAGTGTCGGTAGGCAAACCCATGCCTGCCACCACACAGGTTTCAAACCCTGTTAAACACTATAGACATCAGGACCTTTAGCAATGAAAGTTCCCATCACAGTTATTGTCCTGTTAACAGAGCCTGTATTAATTAGAGACCACCTGTATTAAGAGACCACCTGCATTAAGTGACCACGTCATTGACTTCAGAAGGTGGTCGCTGTATACAGGATTGACAACCTACTTTCTATATACATGTACACACCTCTTTTAACATATTCTAGTTTTGAAATATATCCATCTCCATCCTTATCGTAGTCTTTCTGTGCCCTGGTGAGTTCTATCTCATGCATGTGTACGTAGTCGTATGGATGTGTGAAAGCACGATATTCTTCCTCATCTAATGCTTCATCTTTGTTTAAGTCGGCAATTTTGAACTTTTCCTGGTCCTCTGATATCACCTGGATGTCAAATCACATTAAATAAAACAAAATATTTCAGAGATTGAAATGAAATTGATCAAAAATTCATGAGAATTTTTTTTCACAAGTTATAACATACAGTACAAGAAAATTCCAAATTGAAAATGTCTCACACAGTTATCAGAGGCTAGGACTGATATCTTGAATTCTGAAGCAGTCAAAAATACATGGGTAGGGCAGTTACCTGATCATTACAAGGTAATTTATATAGTTTTCTTAAAAACAAAATAAGATAACACATCGTGTGCAGGTATTGATTTGAGTGCACCAGCCCTGGCATTATTCTAGTTTATGAAGTGGGGAAAAAGGTTTAAACATTAAAAAAACTCATGCAAGTTAATTTTTGTCCTTGGGGGATTTTTTTTTACCACAGTTCATACATAAGCAAATTAATTTAGTATAATTGTCCAAAATTCCATACACACCAATTTTCTGTTCAACAGGACAAATTTGATGAATTATTACTTGTTATTTTCTATACAGTATAGATAAAAATTCCATGTTGATAGGATTTTCATTTGTGGAGGGAGAAAACCAACATTAAAGACTGTGGCCATACCATATTCTTTGTATATCAGGTTGATCCTGTTTATGTTCCTCATCAACTAGCTGCTTACAGGTTTTACACTGTACGCTGATAAGAATCCCAAGTGGTGGCACATAATCAACCTATCAGAGATAATATTTTCACGATGCCAGCCATGGTGTCCCTTTTGGAAATTGTAGTAGCATCTTTGTTTTTAAACACTTGGATTTTCATTTAAAGAAAAACATTCAAATCCGGAGGAGTCACATCGACAAGAGTTTCAAGTAGGTTGCCATAGCGGCTATTTTGCATGCAAGTTATTTAGGCTCAATCTAATTTGAGACCAACAACAGTTCATATCCAATACACTAGTGGAGGCCTTTTTTTCTGGGGAAGTAATGTTAACAAAATTCTTTGCAGGTAGATGTCAGTTGTGAGCTATTGCGATCGATATCAGTAGATCTGATGAAAATGTTATTTTTTCAAGTGACAATATTATAAATGACATTGGTTTTTACTCCCTAACTAAGAAGTTTAGAATACCTTGTTAAAATCTTCTAGGTCATCATCGGTGAGTTTGTTATAGTCCTCCATATCTTCTGAGTTGTAGCCATACACTTCAGAAATGAACTCCCGCCATGTTAATTTCCCATCTTTGTCTTTATCCTGTTTCTCAAATTCTTCCAATGAATCTTCCGCATCAAGCTTCCTAATGACCAAGATGAAGGTTACAAAAATGTGTACTACATCCTATCTATGTTTTATATAATAGACAAAATGATAGGAGACATTTAGTGACCGTGTGTCTCTTTTTAACTAGTAACATTAAAAGAACAGTCAAATTTTCATAACATTTATTTTCACATTTCATTTTATAGATACTTATATATTAAAAAATAAATGAAATATTTGTCATTGCGATTTATTAATCAGGAGGTCAGAGAGGACATATGTGCAAATTTTTGTTTGTGTACATGGTAGGTAAAGTCACAAACTAATATGTACAGCAAATATATACAGCAAAATAAGAAAGTTTTCAGGCATTTAAGCAAACAAATCTGAAGTTCTATTTTTTTTATCAAGTCATATTAAAATGGAAAAATAACCAAAGCCAGCAGAGGATAAAAGGATGTTTTAACTCAATGATATTTTAACTTAAGGCAATGTGATTATCACACATTATCTGGTCCCACTGCATCTGTGATGTTGCATGTGACCTTATAATGAACAGATCTGACTGTGGTAATTATGTGACACACTGTCTACCAGTAATAAACACAGAATGTGCATATATACCTTAATAAATACACTTGGATAATTTTAAAGTATTTATGAATTACATACATTATGGCATTACACATGCACTGCGGCAGAGATGTACAATTTGAATTGATTGATGGTCATCACTACAAGATTTGTGTTAAAGTTGGTGGAAAATGTCAATTTTTTATTTTGAAAATATTGGTCTGGCTGTAGTGAGACTATTTTAAAATCTACCTGCACGCTAGTACCCCAAATATGAAAACTGTACATGTACACCCCTGACCACAGAAATTTGAACTTTGACTCGAGAAAATGTAACTCTTTGTCTGTTTTCTTGCCATTAAAACTGTAGATCAGGCCCATGCCAATAGATTGTAAATTTTAAAGTCAGGTGCTAACATAATATAATCCAATCAAAGCTGGGCGTACATCCACAATTAATCTAGTTGTAAGGAAAACAATTTTGCAGTTTAATAAAATAAACATGTATAATGATACTGCAAACAAGGGAAAACAGTGTTGTAGTATAATAAAAGATACCACAAACATACTGAATGGATACTGACAAGCCCAGGACTATTATCATACTTACTTAAAGGATTCCATGACCCACTTCATGAGTTCCTCTTCTGTGACAAATGTATCCCCATCCACATCCATTTGTTTGTACAGCAGGCTGAGTCTCCTCTTAGCCTCCTCTGGAGGAAGTGTATCAAATTCTTCTTCTAGCTCCTTGGATCCTGTAAAAAGGAAAGTATATGAAAAGCCAATTCATCAGCAAAAGTCTATGGATGAAACAAAAAGTTTGAAACGTCTTTTATTTGTTTTTAAATAAAGAACTTTCAGTGAGAAGGAAAAGAAAGTGCAGATCGAGCCAAATATAAGACTTATTACCAGTCTAGATCTTAGTCTGTACTTGGAGCATTTTTACTTTAATCATTTAAAGAATTAGAAATATTGGCATTCTACAACCGGTTATACAGCAAATAGTGTAGAAATTCATACAGAAACAGAAAATTTCAAGCGTAAATCAATTAGATAATCTACAACCATAAAGCAAATGGTGTAGAAATTCATACAGAAAAAAGAAATTTAAAAAGTATCAATCAATTAATTAGGAGAAATTTCTTGTACACAGCCACAAATTCCAGTCCTCTAAGAATTTTAACAATATAATTGAACTAGCTGAAATTCTTTAACAGATAGGTTATCAGGAATTTTGTCTAGAAAGCATGTCACAGAGTGAAAACAGCATATAAGCCTTTCTAAAGCAAAGGACAAATTAAAAGTGGGCAGTGATTATGCTGGTCTGTCAGTGTCACTGTGAAAGATCTAATCGAGCTATTGATAAAAGATATGTGTCTATGAAGGTCACACTTTCAGTTTAGTTTTCATCTGACAAGGTCAATGTTATCAAAAAACAAACCCAAAATGGCTTCATGGTCAAAGTGAGCATTGTGCTCTCCGTTGCCATCAAAGTGGTGTGAATCAGACTGGACATGATGACTGCCATGCTGGGTTTGTTCCTGATCTCCACAGCTCCAGTGGCAAGATACCAGCAACAGGACAGCGCAACACACTAACTTCATCACTGAAACATTCAACAGGATAACAATCAATTATTGTTGTTCAGTGGAACCTGAATAATGCCCCCTATACTTTTTGAACCTCTTTTACTGTCAATTATCTTAAGGCTTCTATCCCTTTTTCCATTTTTTCAAAAAAATCCTTTAAACATGTATATATCCTTTCATATATTGCCAAACCTCCTTTAAACATGAAAATGTTGGAATGATAACAGTGTGGTAAGGTTTTTAAAGTCCCCATTTTCTGTCATTTTTTCTCAAGAATGATGTTATCTTAATATTGCCACACATTAATGTAATGCCAAAATTTCATTGGATTAATAAGTGCAGTGTGATGAAAGTTCATTATAATAGTGTTACTTAAAGGGGACCAAACAACCACTGTTTTATGTTGATATTTGAAGAACGGCAGCGCAATGATCAAAACAAAAATCTTGCTTGCCAAATGATGACAGAATAACCACTGGAGAAGAAACAGAGGATATAAAATGGTTTCCTGTTGAATATCATGTTTGTATGTATCACTAAAATGAAAGAAAGTGCTGTGATAACTTTTTAACATTTTGCAAGAAACTGATCCCAATGTGACCTAAATTGACCAAACATGTACAATCATAGGTACATATTGCAAATAAAAAAAATGTACTTTATGTAAATAAGTGTCTATATATGAAGTGAACTTAATTTCTTTCTTTTCTTTTCGCGATATATTCCTGTATCGAGCACGGAATTAGATGTTATCTAAGTCCGTGATTGTAGTTAAACTACAGTATTATTCAACTGTTCAATTCGCAGCATTATTATTATTTTTTTTTTTCTTCTTCTAATTTACATACCTTTAATGACAATTATACACCAATATGTTTCTAACTGATAGGCAGATGAATGGACATTATATACAAGACAGAAATTGCCATATCATACGACCACTCATACATGCGATCACCACAGCAACAGCTGCTGGCTTCTGTTTAGTTGTTATCTAAGACGCCTCCTGCTCAGAACCCACCCAGACTTGTTCAGAATTACACAGCATCTTATAGGCTAACACCATACTCGTAAAAAACAAGAATGAAAGTATGTAATGGAAACAATAATAGATAATATGAAATGAATGCAAAATGAAGCAAATAGTCAACTGTTCAAACCTGATCTCTTGAATCTTTTCCTTTGTCTAGTAAATGCAACGTAGATCTCAGCTTAAAATTACTTAAGGCGGAATAATCTGTCTTCCGGTTCAATGTTTATTACACGTGGAAGATAAAAATCGTTATCATCAGGTGCAAATTCGTGCTTTGTTTTAACATGCAACGTGGCTAACAGTGATAGATCAAAGGTGACATCTGATGACAGATCGACCGTAGCTCGTCAGCAGCCGGTGTTTACCGGAAGCGGAAATCCTTGGGATTGGGGAGCGAACGTTATTTACAGTGTATTTACTGTCTTACAAAAATGTTTAGAAATGAAAACGTAAATAGAGGTGCATTTACCACAATAACCCCTTTTAAGCAAACCATTTATTAATTATTTTAACATGTAGATGACGGAGACCTATCATATGTATTCATTGGCGAAGGGATCATACCATTTAGGTGGCACACAACAATTCAAAAATAGGCTCAAGTACAACTGAAAATGTAACGCACACACACTGATGCAACTATAAAATTTGTCAATACATATAGATACAGTACGCTGAAAATAAATTACACCACACAATACATCTACTACAGTACGCTTAAAATAAAATACACTACACCAGACAGCTGATTCAAGTTTACCTTGATATATTGACCTACTGTTGGAACAGAAGGGGAGGCGTGTAAACCCATAAATTACACGAATTTGAAAAAAGGAGGTCTAGGTCCTACTGGTTATGTTCAAATATTAAAGATTAAAGAGTTAATATAATGATTCGTGTCATTTTTTTTTGTTAGATATAGGATATATTTCCATACAATCAAATGTACAAAATGTGCTTATTTTCCTAATTTAAGTTCTGTATCAGTGGTATTGTACGATTTAGATTTACGTATGTGAATATTATCACGGACTTAGATAATCTAACTCCGTGATATTACTATGAAGCTTCTATGATATAAGGAGAACCCATATTGTGTTATTTTACATAACAGATAAAGCCAGATTTACCAGATTTGATTTGACAAAGAATATATAGAAGAGAAACAATGTATTCCTCGCGGGATTTTTTTTTTGACGTAATGAAGATATTGTAGTAATAGTCTCTAATATTCTGATGTTGTTTATTTTCCTTTTTCCGGGGGGGGGGGGGGGGGGGGTATATATGGATGTATAGGGAGTATACGTTATCTTACATCCAACATCCAATTTGTCAGCTATACTTCTAACTAAGGATAGACATTGTGTTGACTTAATGACTAGCTTGTCAACTCGTTAACACCTCTTGATATTTGATTCGCGAAAATGAAATAGGAAATTACGCTCAATCGACATTAAAGCTCAAAATCTTACCAGAGTAATCATGCTGAGCTGATACCGGCTGACGGAGTCACGAGGGAAGATTGCTTGTGACGTTCGCGAACTAATCAGGACACACCTTATTGATCAATTCCTTGTCTACAGACTCACCAGAGCACTTTAAAAAAGGTTTACTAGTTGTTGTTACATTTATCAAAATTTGAAAGTGCCATTATTTTAAAAATGAATATCATTTATACTTTTATTAACGTTTCACATATTCATAGCAAGAAATGTTTTTTTCAAAAATCAGCGTTCACTTTTAATTATTTATAGCCTTTAAATAAGCCTGCCAATTGTAAAATGTTATTTTGAAGGCATGAAATATATAAGTATTGTACCTGCACTTCTTCCAAACGGAAAGTGTTCGGACCTTCCCGTCATAGTGTTAGATAAATCGCGGGACTGATGATTCCGTGATGTTATAATCAAACTTTGACAGAAATTCACGATTTGTTTTCCACCTACCATTGTCACTTGGTAGAGGATGTATAAAAGATCAATTAGGTTGGGTCAGGAGTAGGAAAAAGTGACGTCGTTCCGGCAAAGAACTGTTTTCCACCATTTGCTAAAAAAACAGATTGTTTAAAACGGTATCAAAGTGTTATTTTCTACACATTTTTGTTTATCTTTTTATGTCACTCGACCCGGGACGTTTTGCCCATCTGATGAAGTGTGTATACGCTCCCTATCGATAGTCGAAACGTCCCGGGTCGAGTGACATAAAAAATAAACAATTTCGTCACATCGTTGTACAGGTAAAAACATACGAATCGCTCATTCAGTCATAGCTTGACAAAGGGACCAGTCGGTCTTGAAACGTTGCGACATGTTTAATACGTACTTTATTTTTGTGTAGAAAGTAACATTTTGATATTACAAATTTCCAAACTGATGAATCTTATAGAAGAGATTGTTTAAAACGTATCGTGAACCAAAAGGAACAACACAGACAGACAAAATAACATTTCCGTTATTGTTTTGAACGAAAATATAAATATTGAAACAAATATTATGATCACCTCTGGTGGTCTGCAACCCGATTGCTTACATTAAAGGGGCATCACGCTGAAGTAACTTTTTTTTTCTTTTTTTCAAATACTACATAAACATATCAGGTGAGACTCCTTATGGAAAATAACGATCCGATTTGGCTGAAATAGATTCATAAAAATGATTAAATCCAAGATAATCATCGGTATTTCTACCTGTCTGACCAAAGACGTATATACGTCTCTGGTCTGACCAACGTTTTGTTCAGGGATTTACCTCTACTAGCGCATGCGCATAGCACACCAGTTCTTTGTTAACAAAATGACTGGCTGTGTGAAGTAAGCGAAAGAAAAGTGTTGTACCGTGCCAGCTACGAAGCGAAAAGTTGCCAAATGGTCAAAAGATAGCGCAAGGGGTACGTTACGGAATCATTATTGCGAGTGGGAAGTATTCAAAGCAGAAAATAACTGCCCTAGCAGTCAGTACGGTGCATGTTTTCTTCCGGATAGCGGCCGGTTAAGCTGAAATAAAATCGACAGAAATGCTAGCGCTGTTTATGTTATGAATAAATATCTAAAACTATTAACCTCGCTAGTATCATTGTGTGAGTTTGAACACAGATGAACTTAGTTTAATATGTTAATGGGCATGTATCGGAGAGAGTTTACTTTGTGTTTTTTATAATTATACAGTGGTTTATGCAAACGAAAGGGATAAGTGACTGGTTAGTTTGATTTTGCCATGAGGCCCCCCAAGGGATAACTGCTGTGATGGCCACGGCGTATTCTGTTCTCTGATCCTCTGTCGGTGCTCGGGGTCAAATGAGATACGTGCGCTATTAGATTTACATAATTTATAATATTACCGGGATCAGTAAAATGGTATGATTTAATTATATTGCTGAATTAAACGATTTTTTTATGTTTTGACATGCAAGATTTAAATTAATACTAATATAATACCCGGCCTCCTCTGGCGCGACGACGCAATATATAAAAAAAAAATCGCTCTTCGTCAGAAAGCTACGTTATCACTTTGGTTTTAAAAATGTCAACATGACTGACCAGGATGAATAACTGAGGAAGAAGAACCTACTTCTAGTAAACAGGATCGCATAACATTTTTTTTTTAAATCGTAATTTTTCAACAGTTCATGTTTTCATATGATGTTGACTTAGAATGTATGATCATGCAACAACCTTTTCTCTGTAAAGAATACATTTTCGACTTCAGATAGAATCGGAATACGTAGTGGTTTTGCCATACAGTTTATTGTGTGTGATGGTTAATATGACTTACTAAATGTTAGCGTATGGAGACAGTGAAAGTGGGAAAGAGAGTATGCATAGATTTATATGCATGGTCTAGAAATAAAAATGGCCAAAAACATTGACTTGTATAATGTAATAAATTAATTCACAGACATTTCCTTTTTTATTCGCGTGTAGTTTGTCATTGCATATATGCACTTTACGTAAACATTTGAAAAGGGATATTCGTCTCGTGAATATTCCTTTTTACAGAAAGGTTTGTCCCATTGTTGAGGGAAGGTGTTTAGCCCCGTACCAACTGTACCGGTCACATTCCGGTACTAAATTCAATATATATTTAAATATATCTACTTTTTGTTTATGCCTATCATCATTGTTGACATTTAATTGTAAATGTGTGACGGGAGAAGGCTGTGATAGATTTTAAAAACTTGTGCCCCATCCCTTGTTTAATTTTATTGGCAAAAAATTTACGTTTACAGCTAAATAAATTTGAATTCTGAATATTGGAAAGTGTGCAATTAACTTCTGATGATGAATAATTACTGTTCAAAAAGTTTGAATACGGACTTCGAAATCATATTACTTGGTTTCATAGTGCAGTAAGAAGTTGCAGTTGCCTGACGGCCCCTCTCTGGGGCCCCTTTGGAAACCGTATCATCTCGCTCGCACAACTTGTGTTTACTGCCTAGTCAGGTGACGTTATCGGCGCTATTTTTAGCAGGGCTTTCCCGAACAGTTCAAGTGGTCAAACTGGACATTTGGAACGGACTATGAATATGGGGATAGCGAGGTAACATAAGTGTAAGTGCATACAATACATACATTCATTAAAAAAACCCCGCCTTTTCGCGTGATGTCCCTTTAACAACGAGCCACGATTCAATACTTTGGCGTAAAGCATATCGATCACCCAAAATGCCAGTTCTCTCGTGGTTCCTACCTCTTATCAAACCGACACAGGACAATTGGAGGACACGCACATCACCTGGATCAGTAAGACAACAATGCAGATTGAATGCCTCTTTTCATCAAGTTATTGTAATCGATACAAACAATTCATAAGTGGCATTGATACTAATCCAATCAGCACAGAACACTTTTGTGACATGACTTGTAACAATGAAACCTCTATGTAATGACCATTGATTCATTTGCCACATTTCTTACCACCAACATATCTCACGTTTTCCCGTTTTCGGTTTTCTTAACAATAGATGGTCGATGGCGTATTGGATAGCGCACTTGTCTTTCCCTAAGACGACCGGGGTGCAAATCCCCAATCGGACGTGAAAAGGTATTGGGTAAACTGCAAAACCACGTGTGTTTTTTCTAGATACTCTAGTTTCCTTTCACATTAAGACCTTCTGTGCGCTTTTACCCAAGCCAAAAAGAGTGATTAATATACGTTGAAAAAAGTTTCTTAGCTGTTTTGTTTATAAATAGTCATAATAATAATTCGAGGTTCTTATATACCGCTTTATCACAACCTAGTTCGTAGGTCGTCTCAAAGCGGTTCACAAACTATTATCCGTGGTTATAGGGCCTTTGCAACCAGCCAATAACTTTATCAACTCCCTGGGGGAGCATACAGCCGGTGCTTCAATTTCGGCGCTCACAGCTAGCATTCAACAAATCTAGCACTACCAAGCCACGTACTCATTTACAGCTGAGTAGACTGGAACAAGCAGAGTAGAGTATCTTGCTGAAAGATACAACACAGTGCCGTGCCGTGACTCGAACCCGCAACCCTTCGGTCACGAGCCCGGCGTCCTACCACTAGACTACCGCGACTCATCAAAATAAGCTTATATTACTAAACAGTCTGTTATATCATCCGATATAATGCCAAACCTCGCTATAGCGCCAATATTTCACCACAAAAAGGGTGGTAGTATAACGAGGATTTACTATTATGCTGCAGGCGCAGACACAGTCCCTGTTTTGCTTCCGTATTTGAAGAGCGGTAGTGTTACATTTCTTGATATAGTTATATAATTACGACAAAACCCCAGGCTACGCTGACTTGGGATATAAAACAAACTGTATTTAGCAAGTGTATAGCATCCAATTTACATAGTATGATAGATCAGCTTCTAAGTGGATACCACTTCAGTCCGAGATTACTGGTCCGTGTACGTGGTTAATTATAACGGCCTATGCTAGTCTCTGTCGGTAGGACGGGAGTGACACAGGGATGCCTTACAGATGGATTGTATTCTACTGTTTCTTTTATTTAATGAAGAGCACATGTAAGTACATTTTACATTTATTGTATGATATGTAACTTCATTTATGTTTGTGTTGAATATTTCACACATATCTGCGAATAATTATTAGTAATAAAATTAAATATACCGTAAGTTAAAAATCAAGAAATCGAGAATAAAGAAATGGTATTATTTGGAATCAAAACGCTGCTTTAATTAGCTCTCGTTACAAAGAAGTCCGTTATAGAATAGCTACATGTTACTTGTTTCACCTGACAGTGTTTTTGTAACTCCATAGGAGATGTTTTAATAAGCTCAAATGCTATGCATCGGTCTGTTTGTATAAGCTTAGCGATAACACAAAAAGAATCGACGTTTTGATAAGCTCACTTGTCATACAGGTCTCTTTAAATTAGCTACCAGACTGTTTTAACCCGTTCACCCCTATACAACTTTAGTAAACTCTACCATGCATTGATCCCATTATGGTCTAAAGTGGTGAAAGGGTTAAGACAATCATACACGCTACATATGGCGCTGCTTTAACTACCTCGCATGTGACATTTACATTTCTAAAGGAGACACTTCTGATTAACTCCTGTGACACAAAATGCTGCTCTAATTACATGTGACACATGAGGCTGTTTCAATTAGCTGACATGCTACATAGTAGACTATATGCTTCTAATGTCAATAAATAATGAAGGAAATGTTTATGGAAAAACAAAAACATCGAAATGACTGATGGGACCGCAGTGTCTGTTCACCGTAACAGTATACAATAACAAGTAAATGATATCATGATTTATTATCTCAAGAAAGAGGTCAAGCATTGCGCACGTTCTGTATACACAAATGGGTGTAGATTATACGTTTATGGTCTTGGTAATAGAGTGATATACAAGTTTGTTTTCCTGAAACAGTTAAATTTGTCCCCAGATAATATAATTACTGAAGGTAAACAAACATAATATATATAATTTACCATCCTCCCACCAGCGTCTAAACTTGGTTCTTTAACTGAATAAAATTCAATCATTCTGATGCATTTTCATTTTTGGACGGCCATTGTTGCTTTTAAATGAAATGTATATCCGAAAATTTTAGAGAGTCCAAACAAGAAGCCTGTGCTTCCTTGCAATTGAGACACAGTACTTTGTCGAAGAAGAGCACGCGGTGCCGTGAGATATGATGACTTTTATCGCTGTCTTGTGAATAGGAGTCAATGTAGCATAGATTGAAACAGACATAAAATGGCTAACCCAGAATTTCAAAAGTAATTATTTAATATTTGCAAAATACATTCTGCAAAATTTGATCAAATTCAACTAAATTTAACAAAGTCAACTCTAAATCAAACTGATCAAATGGGTGTGGCTGTCAAAATTGCATTGACTTGAAATAAAATACGTCCTGAGAGGCAATTTGCTTATGCGTATTAGACAGCCGATACCATTCACAACCTAGCTCACTTGAACGCACCTCTTGGAAGTTGAACAATTCATCTTAGGTTCATAGCAATTTCCTGTCTCACAGATCAGTTTTCCAGTCGTGCCACGACCCTTTATTATACATTTAATTGCTTAATAGTCTTTTTTTGCTGCTGAGCGTTTTAAGTGGCAGTGTTTACACTTCAAATAGAGAGTTCCACCTCTTTTCTTCGGTACACAATCCATGAAAAGTTATTTTCCCCCTTTAGGAATTTTGTAGCACCAATGAGGATGTTTATCAAAGCAGAAAGATCAAGCAATTGAGAATGGCATAGTGCAGCTTTTCAAATCATTCTCTCACCTTGCTAGTGCAGTTTGCAATAGCTGCATTAAATGCAGTCGATTTTACATTGTTGACTGCCATAACAAAATGTGCATGTTTACAAAAATTATTGCCAAGTACACTGATTTACTGCGATCACTAATTGATACCCTCTACGGTACATGGTTAGAACACCTTAAAGCATCTACATCAAATACGCCAACAGAGGATTTTGATCATCAGTCTTTTCTGATTAGTTCATAAGATCATCAACGAGGACCAATGGCTTCAAATCATTACTTTTAGAGCGAAGCAGGCCATCTCAAGAATATTATTGCAGTTGCTGACGTTTATATTAGAAGCAATATTTAGAAACGGATTACGGACGAACGATGTGTAAACTAGTTAACAAAAGGTGACAGTATATACATATAAACATTTGTATTGATACAAAAATCATTTGAATTCGATGAATTTCATGCAAACATCTTTCGCCCATGATTAGAGCTCCATTATCTACCAAATACCTTTTCCACAAGCCAGTATCATTTTTTTTTTTTGCATGTATTTTCTGTGAGACACATACTCTTTCTTGGAGTTTTTATTTTTGTTTTGCTAAGCTTTTATAATGTGTCAACTATAAAGGGTGGCATCAGCGTCAGTAGGCTTTATATTCACAAAGAAACTGAGGAGAACTTCAGTTTCAGTCGAGACTTGAGGATTGGGTTTAGTTTATAACACACCTTGACCGAGGGAAGAAATAGAGCATATTGTCAATAATGCTGACTTATGACAGCTCAGAGAGATGTAATAACAACTAAAAATAAATCCAACGATTTTGATGAAAATTATTTGTGTATTACCGTATATCATTTAACCGAGATATCTATTGAAATATCATAGAATTCCGTACCGTACAGTTTTTACTCGTCTATAGCATTCTAACAGACATTATGTAACTATATACATGGTTATACATTGGAACCCAGTGTATATTTAATGATCACTTTGTAGTACATCTATTTCAATATCAAGGGTTAAGATTGACATACAAAAATTAGTAAATTAAGATGCTAATGTGTTATAATTAAATATCACGGAATGAATTATACAAGATAGACGTTAAAATGGCTTTGCTTAATTTTGCTGAAATTATAAGGACGACAGGCAAGAACCAAAAGTGGCAATTGAAGACATATCGGTCGTCTCATGTACCTGTTTATTATTTAAAGCTCCACTCAATCAAAAATTGTTTCAAAATTCACATTGATATCAGGAACATATCATTAATTCAAAAGATGGCGGCACCTGTCCCGAAAACTGTGCTTCAAAGACCTGTGATGACCCTGATGGAGGTTGTCCTAAATGTGAGAAGGAATGGTGGGGACGACAATGTAATAACCGTAAGTATCCTTTACATATAAATATAAGTTTTATTAAGTTACGTTATACATCTCAGTTTTCAATTATTACATAAACACTCGTTTTCTTTATTTAAGCAATGTATAGTTTGTCCATCGTTATGCTATACATTGCAAACATATATATGTGTATCTGGTCAAAATTACTGACATGATCTCAAATAGAACTGTTTCTAATTACAATTTACTCTATATCATGTAACACAGCCGTGTATATCGAAACATTATTAGATTAATATGATAACAAAGCGAAAGCAGAATAATGCTATTTTAAGCGTTAATAGTGTTTTGTATTGTTTTAAGAAGGAACTGGTATAAAAATAGGAAATACTTTAAGAAATACAATGGAGATGTGAATTAACGATTCAACAAAACCTATCTTCACTTATTCAAATGCTTCCATTTTAGAATTATACCATAAATGTTTTCATAAACTAGGAGGACATGTTAATATGTGAAAAAATATATTGGGACAAAACACGAGTGCCCGTATGACATGCTAACGGATTGTTTCTTAATCTAAAAGAAGGACTCCTAAGCAATTAAATCACTCCCCATTTGCTACTGCTATACCTTGAAACTGACAGCCTTCAAGACTAATGACAAATATGTATATTGTTTGATAAAAGGCGGACGCAGGCAACACATGCCCTCATTATATGGGACTCAGAAGTGAATAACCGGAAGTTAACGAGAAAAACAGGTTACCCCGTACGAAAACCACTCCTTTTTTACTCGGAGACACAGTAGCGAACCGGGTTTAATTTGAAATAGTACTAAATCGTTTTTAACATTTACTGGTTGTCTGACATAGCTGCCCGAGTCCCAAAAGCGTCAAAATGTGTGTCAGTACATATTGATGAAAATATTGGTTTCGTTATTCACAAGTAATTGTTAATGAAAATGTTAAATCAATACAGCTTAGCCATCGTGTAAACATCAGTTTAATTTAGTTTCTATTGTTACAATACACGCAGTCCGTATCGGTTAAATATGATTATTTATTTGTCGACAGCCATGGGATGTTACTGGGAGGATGCTCCTAAAAAGTACCGTGGCGATATGTCTGTGACGAGCAGTGGGCGTGTTTGTCAGCAGTGGTCTAGTAACTCGCCCCACAAACACAGGTTCGCCAAGTTAGTAGTGGGCTTTAAAAACTACTGTCGTAGCCCGGGAAATCACCCAGTTCCATGGTGTTATACAACTAACCGAAACCTGCGCTGGGAGGCATGTAACGTGCCTCGATGTGGTAAGAGCTTAATGTTAATATAATATAAACAATCAGGTAAAGTGAATGGCTACTTTAGGTATATTGCTTGAATTGACATGTTTATTTACCAACGTCATTAACAACTTAACAATGCTTATCGGGTAATATTGGTAAATATTTTATATATTTTATCCTCTTCTCTATTTTTGCAGACAGCAATAGTGGTTCATCAATACTCTGATTCTGCTTTTATTCAAGAATTTTTATAAAGGTACACTGTATATACACGATTTACAGATACAGCTGAAAATATATGTATAGTATTTACTATATTGTTTTAATCACTCGAACCAAAATAAAGTACAATAAAAGCACTACTATTCCAAAATGAAGAAGTATTTAAATGCTTAACTTTAATTAATTAAATAGCAAAAAACGATGATGGGTTTTTTTCACAGCGCTCATTGGTTAAAACAATAAGCGCTACAAACAAAAGTTCCGCGTTGACGTTGCCTCATTTGAAACAAAAAACCTGAATAGGTTATAAACTTTTTTAGAATCCGAAGACCTATGTCCCGTTCCACCGTTCCCTGTACACAAAGTACTGCCGGAAGGCGTTGAGTTTGCTAAGCCGTTTGTACCGGGTACATCTATACGCGTGGTGACTTCCTGTGGAACTCTTCAACGGGATGCTACAATCTGGTGCCAGTCTAACAGGACGTGGGCTTCCTCTGGAGGATGTGGAGGTGCGTGGTGATGCTACGTCATATCCGGTCAAATCGTTGTAGTAACATTTTATGTGTTGACAAGTCTGGTAGTCATTGGATGTGTGTTGTTAAGTTTGGGCAAACTTTTCATTACTTTGACATTATAAAGTACCACTTAAGAGGTCTTAGGAATGGCCATACGGTGTAGTATAAACTTACTTTGTTCGTCTTTCTGCATGAACGTCCTCAATATTGAAATCGGTGTTGCCTCGTGTCGTATTGCTAGTAATTAGAGGACCACGCTGGTGGACTATCAGTTATCGATGTTTTTTCCCGGCATTTCCTTGTTATTGTTCAGATAGATGCTATTGTTAAAAAAATAAGGGTAGTATGCAAGCGTTTCATAAATGAATCAAATGTCATAGTTTTATTATTTGACTTTACGTTTGAATGTTTATAATCCCTGATCAATTCAGACTATCAATTTAAACTTATCCGTGTTGTAGGTTGTATGCAACATTACAAATTGACATAAAAAAATCCATTCACATCAACGCGTTAAGTTCTTTTCAATTATATTGTTACAAAGTACATGTAAATCCATATTACCGAAGACAGCTCAGTAATGTCTTCTACTGACTGGAGGTTCTAATCCCTCCGATGTGTTATGACAATTCTCCTGCTGCACAAGAGTTTGAGGTCCCTCGGGACAACTAAACTCAAACCTAATTCAGTTATTTCTTGTCCAAAACACTGCTACCTCTAGAAGGAAAGCCAACTTGTATGATAAAAAAACCTTCTCAACCGTGTTCTGTGTCCTGTATGCAACTCCAATTAATTCCATCTCTCAATTTATAACAACAGGATATCGTTATGCCCAACGATGCAATGCTCAACCAAAAGATAAAAAATGTCCCACATCTATCTCAGTGATTAATTCATGAACATATTGTTTGAGAGCGCATAGCAAAGATTGTATGTAAAATAAATGCAAAGTGTCATTTTAAAAGTATAGGCCTAAAGGTTTAAATAATTATAAAACATTGACTTGATGGAGTGTGTTAACTGGTATACACTGACCTGACACATGTTTGTATATAAACAGAATTGTCGCCCTACTGCCCGAGGCCGGCCTTGGAGAGGAACAGTTACATTCATGAAGACCACAACTATGCCTATCATCATAATGAAACTGTGGACATTCGCTGTCTGGAAGGTTTTGCCATCCAGGGTCCTGGGATTCTGGAATGCCAGGAAGATGGTACCTGGAATGACACTTTACCCACGTGCTTTATGAATGGCAAGTTATGTTCATGTTTCTCGATCAATCATTAAAAAAACAATTCGAATTTTGTCAACAAACCAAAAAGATTCCTAAGATCTCGTTAATTAAATAATTGAACCTGCGCATGGAAACGATTACGACCATCTTGTCGGATTTAAATTTTTCAGCTTTTTTCTTGATCTGAGATGGTTGTGATTGATATACCGTTGTTTTTCAAACATTAATAAAACATACCTTTGCCAACAATCGCTTTCATTGCGAACCTTATTGTGTTCTTAAAGGTAGTCACCTGTGTCCTCCAATGTGCGAGGATGACTTCTCATGCGATAATGAAGACAGAGGGTGTCCGAAGTGTAAACCGACAAGGTGGGGAAGACACTGTGAATATCGTAAGTTCATCAGGAAAGTTGTGTTTACGCTACTTTATATGTTTGAGGAATAAATAGTTTGCCAAACATGGCAACCACTAAACTAACATATCATTTCCAACGAAAGTATACTTATTTACCAAATAAAAAAGTGGCTTAAAATTAATTTCATTGATTTTATATCTTGTTATTTCTGAAATAAAGCGTTTCTTTTGAACACAATGTTTTGTAGATGTTGAATGTATCAACACTAAACGAGGATCGGATTACAGAGGGTTGCAGAACAGAACGGCCAATGGTCTTGTGTGCCAGGCCTGGGGGAGTCAGGTCCCTCAGAAACACCCGTATGGCACCAGAGTGGACGAGGGAGCGTCTAACTACTGTCGCAACCCAGACATGGAACCTAGGCCGTGGTGTTACACTACAAACCGCAGAACACGCTGGCAAGCATGTCACGTCCCTCACTGTGGTAATACATTTAATTTGGTACCGCAAATCACTTATTGTCACAGAATATTGTTTTTCGCATGTTAATCGTCGAGAGATAATTACTGTCCATATCCTCCTCTCAATGGCGAATTCAGGTATTAGCGTATAAAAGCTAAAAGCAAATTTTGCGAAATGATGTACTGCGACATCAGACAATGATGTCCACTCTATACTAACCTAAGACAACTTCTCTTAAACTCAATTTCTGCTATATCAGCGATACTATCCAACTGGATAATCAGACTTTTCTCATATATGGATATCAAATACTAGATATCAACATGAATATATGTTATTCCGAAGGTGGTCAAGATATTCATTATAGAAACTTAGTTCTTTCACTAGATCACAGCTTATTTATATACTTTCATTTATTTTTGTCATCTGGTTTGCTTATTAAATGGGACCAACACAGAATGGTGTATCTTTATGGGCGAACAATCTGTGTTGTCCATCAGCTTATGTTTAACTAGATCGCCGATCATTTAGTTTGTGGTGTATTTTATCACTCAACTGTGTTAACAACTACAAAGTCATGCAATAATATATATCCCTTTAAAGTGATCATCTATCTTTACTACAATGTGATGTTAATTCACTGTTTATTGTTGTAAGGAAAGGGCGTCCATAGGCTTGCCATTTTCCGAAATTCTTAACTTTGGTATATATGATCTGAACAAAACATAATCTGCAACATCAGACAATATTGACAGTTTAGAGTAAACCTAAAATGCACAGTTGTCTTATATTTCTTACACAGCTGACGTTTAGGTAAAAGGCATATGGACAAATGGTTTTAAGTAAGTTATAAAGGGTGTCATATGTGATGACATAGAGAATCTGATACAAATTGTATTACATTGTACCTTTCGGAAGGAAAATTCAGACTCTTACCTTGTACGTATAATGTTTGCAAGATACCTGAATTCGCTGTAGATTGCAATACGACTTTATGTGAGTTATACAACTCAAAAATGTATGTAATATGCAGTACCTATGAGTACAATGTAACATTCTTGCAATACCTATCGAATCATCTTCATTGTTTGTATATGTAATGTGTATGGTTATGGTATCACAGAGACTGTGTGCCCGTCTCTCACGATGCCGATGTACAGTCGTCTGACAGAGATTACGAACAGACCATTTAATGCTGGATACAAGTTATTCGTGGAAATGAGGTGTGATGGCCGAAATGTTTCAATGGTCACCGTATGTCAGAGTGACTTGACCTGGTCTCACAATGTGTCCTGTGACGGTAAGACTATTACTATAATTATCTACGGCTTTCCCCAACGTATGCTTAAGATTAACATTTCATACTATTTCTTATCATGGAATTAAAGTTTGAACGATTATTATAATAAACTGGATTAATTTGTCTAGGGAAACACTGTCCGAAATAAAGATGATTAATAGGAAAAATAATAAAAACGAGACTTATATCGGCTGCACTTTCTATATAAAATCAATCGCCAATGCATTCGTAGCTGCGTTCCTATCCCTAAGTCTTATGCATTATGATTAATGGATGGTGATGTTAAAGAGAGGCCAGCATTCTGCTTTACCATCAGTTAATCTACTTAATAGATACTAAACAAGACCTGTTGTTTTTTCCTTATATGTAATGCAAACCGAAATAAACGAAGATCTACCTTTAAGTCACTTTTATTTGTTACATAAGTAATAAAGATAGTTTGTTGAATATCTAACCTGGATGCATATCCTTATATAAGAAAGGCTTAGTAGAGACAATAAAGGCAGTCAAGTGCCATCATTTTGTGTTCTGCCTTTGGTCGGTTAAAAATGTCGAGGGAATCTGTCAATCTGTCGAATCTTGTTACTGAGTGGGTAGTTGGTTTTTCTAATTTAAGAATATTATCGATTGATTGACATAATTTAGTATTTTGTACCATATTTAATTGTCAGAACACTGAACATTTCAGTTGTCCACTGTTTGCGGCCCAAACTCAACAACAACAGCGTCATCCTTGGAGACGACAGTAGCAGACTGTTTGCTGAGAACGATACAATCGAGGTCCGGTGTCCCGAGGGTTTTCTCCAGGAGGGTCGACAGGTGTTCCAGTGCCAAACGGATCGTTCCTGGAATGGCAGTATGCCTACGTGTAATGGTACGATGATAAGTTTTAAAAAGGGAACTTAATCCTTTACTGTAACCAGTTCATATTTTCATTAATACAGAATCATTTACATGTTCCATAATAATCATGCATAACTTTACGTGATGCAATTTATAGAATTAGCAAAGCTGTTTACTATGAATACTCGCTACAATATCACGAAGATATTTGAATAAAAGTCTTTTATATTTTCGAAGGCGAATATAGAGTTTGGAACCGCCAGATTCTATCGACCTGATCTTAACAAGATTTATACACCTTTGTTTTTCTGTATTTTCCATTGTTGTAATATAAATATTTTGGTAGTTTCCTGCTAGAATCGTTCTAAATAGACATTTAAAATTTGCATTGAAGGAGGAATCTGTCCGCCAATGTGTGCAGCAGGGCAGCCCTGTAGGGATCCTGACGGAGGGTGTCCACTTTGTAAACCAAGCTGGTGGGGCCGCCATTGTCAATACCGTAAGTTAATTTGTCATCAATAATAGACAATCAAAAATGCCATAAAGTACATGTTCAAGGACATAATCAATTAAAGCAGAGGGAAACGAAGAATGTTTGTAATCATTGCTTTTTCACCTAGTGTGATATACATATTATTATCGTTAATAAAATATCCATAAGAATGCTAAAATCAGAGAAAAGTTAACCCAGATGTAAAATTTTGATAAATTTTTCGAGGTCAACAAAGTGGTTTACCGCCTTCATGACAACAAGTTCCCTATCCATTGTGTTGATATTTTTCTGTCTGCATGAAAAACCAGCAATGATTTATTATTTTCTTACCTCCGTTTATCTTAATGTACATGTAAATATTTTAGTTAATAAATCACTGCAGTGAAAGAGGTGTTATTAGAAATGTTGGCGTTGAAAACGTTGCGGTCTTTACATATACTTTGAATGGTAACATGTGAAGTATGGAATAATAATACCCATATTTGAGATAAGAATAATTCTTCTTTATGATCAATTTCCATTTTTGTATTTTGTTGAATTTGTCATACTTGATGCTTAAAGAATAAGAAATGTTGCAGAAAAGAGTTGTCACTTTTTTGACGTTATAAAGAGGTGGAAGACACCTCTCCCCTTAGACGAGTTTGTATATATTATTTTAAATACACGTACTTCGTATGTGGGTTGTAAAGCATCTGACCGTTGGTACCACTCATTAGTCCTACACTGACGGAATGAACACATGTAGTTTAAATGTTTACTCTGTTTAGCTTGCTGCATCGATTTACAGAAGTTTGAAATTGCTGCTTTCTTACTTCGTATTTTTATTGGTTATCTTATGATTGAAGTGGAAGGAGTTCCCCACTTCTCCTCTATGAGAGTGATACGCAAACAAATAAATTTCCTTGGTATATTTAAAATGTTATGCAGTATTAAAACAACATTTTTGTCAAATATTTCTTTAATTCTTTTCCTTTAATTGATTCATTAAATATACTGACCGGCAAAATAAAATACACACTTTATAAAATGTATCAAATGATTTATTTCATCTTGATAAAGTCACTTTTCTTTGCTAGTGCATGCATATATAATTTGATAAGATAGTATTATCGAATATGTTACATGGCCGTATCTGTGATGGAGACATTTCATCCTAGGGTAACATCTTTCATTTTCCAACGAGATGTGCCGAGTACTGAGCTTCACATATACTTATCGGACTTATGGGTACATAGGTTGCTTTGTTTTCGTTTGTTCGTATGTCTGTCAACATTTTGTGAAGTATCCAAATCGTAACGCCTGGCTGTGTCTTCATTGACCTTCAAAGATGTGCTTGTCACAACTAGACAGCCTGTGCTGTTACCCTGTCAGGTCTATATCCTGATGGAGTAGGTCAAAGGTCAGGGGAATGGTCAAAGGTCAAAACTTGTTTATGATGGAATAGAGATGTCTTAGTCAGACCTAGCTTAACTAGGGCTTTTAATGTCAGTATTTCCTTCCCTTTTTGCTTTTTCCTCTGTTACTCTGTTTCATTACCTTATTGCAGCAATGCAGTGTTATGACGGCCAAGGAGCGGATTACAGAGGGACGCTACGGATGACCGTTAGTGGCCGAAAATGTCAATCATGGATGTCCAAGTCACCACATAAGCACAAATTGAATCTGTCCGACTCGGAAAACTTTTGTCGAAACCCAGATAAAGAACCGAAGCCTTGGTGCTATACCGTAGACCCGAACAAGCGATGGGAAGTATGTCCAGTTCCAAAATGCGGTAAATAGTTCTGTCTTTTATAAACTTATAAGCTGTTCTTATACCAATGTCGATAAGAATATAAATGTGAATCCTGGCGCCTACATTAAATCACTCTGTGGTGTAGTATAAATCATTTTGGCATACTGCAACAGTTACTTAATTCTTAATTGTATACAATCACACGTGTGTCTCTCCCGTTCAATTTATGATGATAGATATATAAATGCATATATAATGATAAATAAGTACCATTTGCTTAATTATTTGGAATACATATACTTATATATATCATTTAACACATTTGTTACATGTAAAACTGCTTTTAATTCATGTAATATACCAGAAAAGCATGTTTTCATTACAGAAATGTTATTCCTTGACAGTACAAATGACTTGTAGGAAAATAATATTATCATTATGTGTCATAAAGCTTTTGTCCTGTTCAATTGTGACATGGGAACCATACAACAAACACATAAGTGACACATAGATGAATTATTTGTCTTGTTCCTTAATTCTGTGACTAGACATTGCTGCCCTGTGTCCACCCCCGACTCTTCCCGTGTACTCCAGTGTCGTGTCACCAGTAGATAGCCCATTATATACGGGTTCTACTATGCTGGTGAACCTTACGTGTGGAGTCACACACGAACTCGTCAGCATAGTGTGTCAGCCAAACAGGGAATGGACGATGAATAGACTGTCCTGTGACGGTTTGTACATTTCTTTTAAATGAAATTATTTATGCATTCTTTCAGAAAAGTGTTCAAAATAGACAGTCTAAGAATTGTGACTGTCTGTTGAATACATACATTCTATGATTAAAAAAATTTAAACTGAATTAATTTTCAATGTTCGATTTGATATAAATGGAATAAAACAGTGTCAAGTTATAGCCGTGATCGTCTATTACTGTGTTTAAACGTGCTGTAACATTAGCTACTTCTTGAGACGAAATGTTGTTAATGATTGATTAAATTAAATTTAAAATTTGATATATCTACGAAGATAATTTAGAGCTTACCGAAACAGCAAATATCCTTGGAAGTATTGGCAGTCAATGTATATGTTGTTTCAGTGGTATTTTGCGCTACGCCTGAACTAAGAGACAACAGTCGAACTATTGAAGACACAGGAGGTCCTTATCAACAGAACGACACCATTGAAGTAGCTTGTGAGGTCGGTTTTGAAACCAGAGGACAGACTATGTTTCATTGTCAAGGCAACTCTCGATGGAATGGAACCATGCCAACCTGCGAAGGTAAAACTTTCCCCGTCTATGTTGTCCTAACAAGGTGGCTAAAGAACCAAACTCTTAATTTGGAATCTTGTATTTGTCAAGAGATGCTTAAGTTTTAGATTGCTCCTACGTATCACGTAAATATTCTAACGCATTATTGTTCATTTTCTTTTCTTTTTCGCTTCCTACCTGAATAATATATTTTATAAGCAGTAAAAAAACTTTTTTTAGTTTGCTGTGGCCCTAGTATCGTATTTAACAACAATGTTTATGGTAAACGGTACCACTGCATCATTTATAATTGAAAGAAGAGTTTTACTCGTTTTTTGTTTTTTAAAGTACACTGTGTTCTCCTTACTATACAATAAAAGAACGCACCAAAATAGTTATTCTTGCTTAGAGTATCTTCTCCTGTCAACTTATTCATACATGTAGGCTTTGCAACCCATTACAGGACATCAATTTGATGTTGTTTGATGACAATATTGATATAGTGTAGCTTTGAAAAGGCAAGGGTTCTGAATTCGACCCTTGCAGTTTTTCTCTTTTATTTAACTATTATTTTCAAGCTTTCAAATTTCAAACAACTGCAATTCAGTAAAATTCATCACATCATGTTCTTTTTATGGAACATTTTATTTGAAAACAACTACGACACATAATTCACAATAATGACCATTGAAATTACATTCTTGTTGGTACTTTCAACATTAGGTGTACGCTGTACAAAACCTAATCTGACAGCGAACAGTAACATAGAAGATGCCGCCGTATCATACACATACACGGATGTCGTTACTGTTGGGTGTGACGTCGGATATGAAATAGTAGGAGAAACCTACATGTATTGCCAAGCCGACGGCACGTGGAATTCCTCCTTACCGAATTGTCAGGGTAAGTGTGACTTGAAGTACTAATTGGGAATAAGGAAAACGATATGATTGATCAGGATTCAGCAAAATGTATAGTTGATAATGTATCTTTTAATGAGAATACAAACAAAGTCGGGCAAAAAAAAATGTATTATTCTGCAAAATGGTGTAGCAGATACATGTACAAGTAAGTGTTGTATGTGTGTCCGGTTTTGATACGATTGGGAAAGCGTGTTACATATTTACCCACGAGACAATCGTCAGGGTGGTGTCTTTCAAGTTGGCGGTGTCCCTGACTTGCAGTCGCAGTTAAATGATTAAAAATGGCGGACTTTCATGGCCTTTAGAAAGTTGCCATCTGGAAAGTCACCATCTTGAAGGTGCCTCATAGCTAAAAATTACATCATCAATCAACCTAGTTTCTATTATAATTCTTAAAACATACACGTAGATATATCTATGTATATTTTATATAAATTCTACCTTCATTAAACTAGCACCTTTCGATACTGATGTGTTGTAGTGGTGGTCTGTCGGGCGCCATCTCTGTACGACCACAGCTTTATAGAGAATGAAAGTATTCCCTACGTGTTTGGGGATGTCATTGTGGTGAAGTGTGAGGAGGGGTATCAGCTGTACGGTCATGACACGTTCCAGTGTAAGGGTGACGGTAAATGGGACGGAAGTTTCCCTGTGTGCAAAGGTATTGTATAAATGCTGTTATACTCCTGCCGAGATGGGGATAATATTTGGTAGCCGGTCTGTCCACTCCCTAGCAACTCCATTCCTGCTCCCTACTTTGAGTACTTTTGATGTCGATTCATTACAATCTATCATCAATAACATTTCACGATTTATTCATATAAATTTAATTAAAACTCATCGTAATTCAAGTTTCATTCTTGGAAATAATTAGCAAATGTTTTCGCTTTAAAGGTTTTGATGATTTGTGACTAAAATCACAAATATCAAAGTGTGCTTCATTAACTCCTAATAAATAAACTTACTACAGTATACTAAGTATTTTTGTATGACCTATACGTACAGATATATGTCTCTGTTACAATTTGTAGCCAAGCCAAGTAAATGATTCAGAAACCTTTACTACCAAACGTCCAAAGAGGATAATTATTCAAGCACCTTCGTGTTGCAAGTAGAAAAATCAGCAACCTCATTATCAGTAGATACTCCAGTCCACGTCCTCGATAGATAATCCAGCAGCTTTCGTTCTCCTTAGATAATGTAGCTACAACCACAGTGCAATTCACCGTCTGTCAATGTAGCTGGCAGTCACCTGCACTTCAAGTAGATATTCCAGCAATTGTTGATCTCAATAAATATAAAATCCAGCATTTTCCATCCCCGCAAAAGTACCTGGATTGTAAGTACTCGAGTTACTGGAAAACATATTGAAACGACGCCAGTGTACAATGTACTGGATTAACATGCCTTGATTGTAACAACGATTTAAAGTTCCTTCGTGTTTTATTTAGTTAAACTTCTTAGACATACATTGAACTTTCTTTCACTGCCGACCGGGAAGGTTCCTGTCCTCTACACTGCAGGGCCAACCAGACATGTAGTGATCCGGATGGAGGTTGTCCGGAGTGTGAGCCAGCGTGGTGGGGAAGACATTGTCAGTACCGTGAGTGCTGTTTTACTGATAACATATGTTTACATTGATTTCCAAATTTATTTGCTTTTTACCTATATCCCGTGACTGTGACTGTGTTTAACATACATTAAGCTCTTACCTGGATATGACAAGTGGATTGCATTTGTTTTATCTCTTCGGTTCGCTGATGTAGAATACAAAATATATCAACACTTACATGTACATCACTTATCATTTTGATTAAAGAATAACTTGTCAGGGTGCATGCACATCCTAAAACAGTGTCGGTTTATATAATTAGGAATCGGACAACCAAATCACTAGCAATATGCTACTACTAAGTATTAAAGCTGATAACAAATCTAAATGTCTTACCTACTTACCAAAGTAGTGTACTTTAGTTTTTTCACATACAATCTACACAAAATGATTCTTAAACAATACAGAAGGATCATTAGCTGTTGTAGTTTTCTTAAACAAAGAATACAACAAGTAGGTACTATTGTTGCAGCTTTGGGATGTCGTCTAACAGCAAAAGGATTAGAATATAGAGGGGAGATGAATTCTACGGTCAATGGACGTGTCTGTCAAGCATGGTCCGATACGACACTCCACTCTCACCGATACATGAAGTTCGTGGATAAAGAGGCCAACAATTTCTGTAGAAATCCAGACAAGGAGGTCAGCCCGTGGTGCTATACCCTAGACCCTTCTGTACGCTGGGAAATCTGTCCTGTTCCTCTCTGTTGTGAGTCTTGTTAAACTAATAATTGTTATTATAGCTACCTTTATTCAAATAATGCATTAACATTTGGTGTGTGCCATTAAAATATTTCTTCAGTTTCTATTGTGGTCGTGAATGAGAAGAACATGAATCTTACTATATTTCGATAGTCGAAAGCTTAATATTTTGAACTGAAAATGTGAAAACTGTAATACAGATACAAAATAAACAAATAATGGTGCTAACTGATTGTGGTACCTGTTGTGCTCTTAAAAAGATAGCTGTTCTATTCTTAGCATCGCTGGATCAGTGTTCGCCGCCGGTGCTGCCACAGAACATCACCGTAATCAACCCACCAAAGATTGCTTTCTTCACTGGTTCAGTGCTACTATTGGAGCTCCAGTGCGGGGAAGGGTTCAATACCGTGGCCACTCCGAGGATAGCATGTCAAGACAATGGCACTTGGAAACAGAGCATTCCTACATGTCAAGGTCGGTTTTGTATTATTTCGTACAATTAAAAAAAAAGTTCCAGCAGACGGATTGGTAACCGGGGAAATCAGTTATAGATTAGTTAAACTCACCCTTAGCACACTGCATGGATAGTGTGACAACCGAATAAGTGGTGGCTGGAATAATGAAGCTCGATCAAAATATTCCTTTAATAGTCCTTATTCAGCCGCAACGAACAGTAATTTAATGTGATGAACAAATGCATTGAACTATATTCCATTGTGATATACAAAGCTGTTTTATTAGCTAATGTTTAACCAAAGTATCGTTTTACATGAGCATCGCCTCGGAATCGAACCCATGGCTACCAGTCCAGTGATCTGGATTATGCTCAAGGGAAACTTCCAAATATCCGAAGTCAGTGATAAGCGATAAGATGGTTTAACACAGGTACAAATATTTAACATTCTTCTTTAGCTGTGCGTTGCAAGCACCAGCCTCTGCCTGACCACAGCTACATTACAGGAATGTTCGTCACTCACTTCCCCTACGTCCTGACGGTTCATATCAAGTGTGAAATTGGATACGTCATTGAAGGGCCCTCTCAGTTAACCTGTTCTAAACAGAAGTACTCATGGAATTTAGTTAGAACACGATGTAAAGGTATGTACATTCATTGATGTTCCGGGAATCATGAAATTGCCACTAATTCATCCATTATCAGGGATCTTATGTGTTAATTTCGTTGATATGGGCTCTATATATGCAGCTTAGGTATGAAGTAACTAATTAATAAATGTTCGTTACCCTTTCGCTCCATGAACGAGTTGAACAACAGACGCTAATATTGTAACCTGTGTATTTATTTGTTTCCCATTTGGTTCAAGTTTATAATGTTTACAAATAATGCTGAATCAAACGCCTGTGTTCGGAATCCTTAATTGGAAATGGAGCCTCATACATTACTGAATTCAGATATAGATACAGCATTTGTAATAATTCATAATACGAGTACAGCAATTCATAGAGAGAAAGGTTCATGTGTTATTTTCCTGAAATTGTGTTTGTGCTTTTGAAGCGCAAGATAGTGTACACATAGTTGCAAGAAGCCCCAAATGTAGCGAGGCATTTTACACACGGAGGCAAATATGTTATTTCCATTTTGACTTTTAGCTGTTGTGTGTCCCAAACCGGTAGCAAAGGCCTACAGTTACCTAACTCCGATCAAGAATGAGTATCCCTATGGCAGCCAGATATCTGTGAATTGTATTCAGCAGTACGGTCGAATTGGACAAGGAAGATTTCAATGTCTTTCTGATGGCAGATGGGACGGAGAAATGCCCGTTTGTAAAGGTTGGTACGTGTCTGACAGACACACTGCATACATCTCGTGGTCATTGTTATGGCATGATAAGGATATTCAGTACATACAACTACTCACCTGTCTGCCAAGCTGTGTCACGGTTTACTCAGAACCTGCTATTAGTTGTGGGATGCGTTCTGTTGAGTAACGAATTACTTATCTTTGTTCCAGATTCACGAATGTTCTCCAACTTAAATCATTTAACTTTAATAAGAGTAAAGGAAATATGTTCCACAAAAAACAACCTCTTCAGACATATTTTTCTTTAGGAATTTCTTTCAGTTAAAATTCCTTCGAATACTTAAGTCATTTCCCCGACAGGTTTGGGCAAGGTTATGATACGTGTATTTCAGTGTGTAATTATTACATGTTGACTGTCTAATTAGTTGTAATGGTGATTTATTACGTTTTCACCAGTGAAATGTCATATGAAAATATCACCTCTTGTATTGTCTTATTAGAACCATACCTTCTGTATAGTGCGTTGATTTTCAGTTTCAAGTTCAGATGAAGCGACGACAAAATAAGTGGTTGTCCTGATATACCTTTGCAACATATACTATGGTATTTCAATAAATATATTATAATTATATTTGTTTGGAAATCTGATATGATAATAGCAGCATATATTTTCGTAGTGTTACTTTGAAAAAATGAATAAATAGAACACTGACAGATTTTACCATTGAATACAATACTCATATGGCAGAATTTGGCATTTGCACTCATGAAATATATTAGATATTTTGCCATAGTCGTGAAATACATTGGTATTCATAGGAAAACCATTAATCATCCTTTATATATCTTTCATTCACCGCCTTGTTTTTGAAGTTGTTGATATTGTACTAATGTTTCTATTTCTCGTATTGTTTTGGTATGATCTTGTGAACTCTGAGTTTAAAATTTACAATATGGTAAATATCCTGCAATTTTAAGGAGCACTGTTTTCCCGATTTTAGCTCCCACATGCAGTGTACCGGATGTACCCGTGACACACGTGGTTATTGTCCATTCCCAGACTGACCTGAGTCCGGGAGGAAATGTGACAGTTGTTTGTCGGGGGTCACATAATGGCACGTCCATCATGCAGTGTCAACAAAACGGAACATTTTCGGGATCGATTCCCAAGTGTAAAGGTGAGCATGATTGCGTATTGCACTTTGATTATTTTCAAATTTAAGATTAGTCAGTGTCATTGAGAGTTACATATTACATGTATACTTATAATCATATCATCACAACAATTTATTGACACATATTATGTATTTCCAACCCTAAGAAAGTACCCGAGGTTTATATAAGTCTTGGTTGGTGGTAGTTTGTTATGTGTGGAAACGTCGAAAATGAACACCATAAAATATTGAACATTATGCAGTAAGGATCAGATACATTTGTTGTTTAGTACGTTTGGACATATTCATTGAACATATAAGTTCTGTTGAGCACTACGATTAACCATTCTTTTTCAATATGCACTTTACAACAAGAACCCCTTTTGACAAAAAAAACTTCGATATACACCTAATCGAATAAATATAACGGAGGCGCTTTAATTGTCATATTTGAAAAAAACGGAAACATTGTTATCAGTTTGTTCGTCGGTCTGTTCGTCCACCCGAATGCTTTAAATTCGGACGAAATCTAGATAAAAATAGAACGTACTTTAAACAATGATAACGCCTATTAAGAGACCTCATAGAAAACTACTCATTGCAATATTGTCAAATGAACATGTACTAAGAGATTATCTGCAATTAAAGACCAATTTCCTAAGGAGGTCTATGAATATAGGTTTATTTGGGTTTTACCTCCTTTTAACAGTTTCAGTCATTTAAGGACATGCAAGGTTTTGGTCGTGGAATAAAGCCAGAGTACCCGGAGATAACCGGCTGCCCCACGTAGGCCTCGAACCCGTGACCTACTGATGGAGGGCTAATTATCATAGACGGTCAGACGGCTTTACCACTCGGCTACCGCGGCTCCCAATAAATATAAGTCTATCTGTAGGAATAATTTAAACGATAAAACAAACATCTGTGGTTTTATTTTATTTCAGGCATAAAATGCTCTTTGCCAACTCTAACAAACAACAGTTATATAGACCACGGGAACGTGTCGTTCTCCTACGGGGAGGTGATCAAGGTTTTGTGTAAAAAAGATTTCACTCCAAAATCGTCTGATCAGCTCACATGTCAATTGGACGGATCATGGTCCGGACAGGTTCCCGAATGTGTACGTGAGTAATATATTATGATAAAATTATTATAATTAAAATTATTAGTCACTCTGACTACATTCTCCCAAGTTATTGCCATTTAATTATATTTCATTTAATAAATCAATATCTTTTTATGCGGTTTTTCCCAAAGAATTTTAGAAATGTAATTATAAATTATATACAGCATAGATGCAAAATATATGCATCAGATTTAATAAGAATTTACATTGCCTTTAGAATTGTTTATCAGACCTAATAAGTCCCAAACGGAGGAAAAACAGTTATCCTATTTTGACAATTTGTTTTTACGTAAATATTTATATTGAAGCATTTGCTAGGATACTATTTTTTTCGAGGATGATTCAAAGAAACACATGCAAATTGCTTGATCCCTTTTCTTAGAAAAGTTCAGTGTATATACGGGAAATAACGCCAATAACAGCAAATATAGTTGGATTTATCACGGCTGAAACATAAAAAGGTAAAACTGTTACTTTAGTTTTGGCGGTTCTATTGGTTGTTTACGAACACAGAGGAAATCAACTGGGGTGTAAACAATTCTGAATTCGATATCCATCCCGTATCGGTTTTGTTTAACCAAAACATGTCATGGAACAAAGTAATGTGAGTTCATCTGAGCCAAATACATGTACAATGTTTTTTGTTAATATTCGTTTTAGACCATTTACTTTTATGACAATTCTGAACAAATTTGTGAGAGTCTGATTGAACAAAACTTTAACAGATTTCCACATCTATTGTTTGTTTCATTTCGCTTTGATTAGCAAAACAATAATTCAATTTATTTTCAAATAACAGTGATTATATGGAAGCGTTCTGTAATTCAATAAATTAAATTAATAGTTTACTAAAATTATATCATCAAGAACTATTAAATCTTTCGTGTCTTGCCTAAAGAAACCAACCGATACTCTATAATTATATAGAACCAATTTTATTATCCACCCGTAAGTAAACACATGAACTGAATATAACTATTAATGATTAAATGTTATTCAGATGGCCATGTTCTTGTCAGAATTGAACTGACAGCAGAGGATTTTTTAAAGGCCTACAGTCAGAATAAAATCTATGTACTGTGTGTTATAATGCTATTATTTTTTATTAATAAGGTCGCGTGCAAATGTTTTCTTGTAGCGGTCGTCTGTAACCCACCAGATATGCCACCAGATAAATACGTTATCCTTAACCGCCGTGACGACATGAACGCTGGAGGTACGCTTCAAGTTAGCTGTATCAGCGGCAAGGAGTTGAAAGGTCCGGCTACACTCACCTGTTTGGTCAACGGTTCCTGGTCGTACGACAACAGTCAATGTAAAGGTATACATAATCCATGTGGTCAACAATAACAGTTTTATATCGCAGTAATATGTTATAATGGTATATCTTTTAAATAATTTATCATCCGTGTAACATTTCACATTTCTTAATTCCTGTTGTTAATTTCAAAAATGTTTCTATATCTTATTACATCATACTCTGTTATCAGGTCGTTTTTTACATCACCTTACCCAAGCCCATGCTAAATTAATGGAAGTTGGTTATGTGTCAAATATATTGGAGAAAAATATCTGAAGTAACTTATGCCATAGAAAAAAATAAATGTATCGCATTAAAAATGTTGAATGTCACACATTTCGATTTTACAAATTAATATTTGTTGGTAATTGTTGTAGCGGTTAGTTGTTCGAGTCCTGATTTACCTGACCACAGCGTAATAGTTCGAGGAAAGAAGAACATTTATAGATACAGGGACGCTATCTTAGTCATATGCAGTGAAGGATATAGTCCCCTAAATCCTGTCGCGTTAGCCTGTCAGGAGGACAAGACTTGGAACGGGACAATGCATAGATGTGATGGTAAGTATTATGTATAATAACTCTCTGAAAGTAATCTAACTTTACCATTAAAATTTAATCAAAGTTTTATATTAATTTTCCGAACGTATCTCAATACACTTTCTCTACATTGTGTGCAGCCGTTTCATGTCAAGTGCCGACCCCTCCTGACACACTTCAATATATTATCCAAAGCTCCGCCGACCTACAAGTTGGAGGAACGCTGTCGGTCGGATGCAAGTCGGGGTATAAGACTCTGGGAAATGATCAGATGATCTGTGAAGCAGACGGCCATTGGGGAGGTCACCTGCCAGACTGTCAAGGTAGGCAAAAACCCTGGAACCTCTTGCTTCAGACATTTATAACCACACGCCTTATATCAATTATACACTTCCACTTTCTGTTTGTCTCAAAATTAATCATATCAGGAATTATCCGGATATTTGCATCATGGCTTACTAACTATTAGATTTAAAATAAGCAGTTCTCCTCTTAATGTGAGAATTCGTATAATAAATTCGTATACTCCATTTGCTCCTAGTATCACATATGCTATTTTACTAAATTCTTTGGGTTGTTCTTATATCTGTTTAAATATCCTCGAAAATGTTTCTTTGTAAAATGTATACGGGAAGTAAACTATCTGTATTACAGCAATGATGTGTACACTGCCAAGCCTGTCTACCGACCTGTACGTTGTTGTGGAACAGGGTAATGGCGTGACCCCCGGAGACGTGATATCGGTTTGGTGTAGACCGGGAATGAGAGTAATGGGTTCCTCCTATCTCAAGTGTCAGACGGACGGGACCTGGAACGCGTCTTCTCCAACCTGTCAATGTAGGCAACATATCTACACCAGTTAAAACACATTTTGATATTCCAGTTTAGTATGGAACACATGTGATATCCTTCCATACATCATTTTTATAAGGATTCCTTTTCGCTTCGGCAATTTTCCACAATTCCAAGATGACACCTATCATGGGACTGATAAATAAATTACAACTACCAGACAAGTGGAAGTAACTCGAATGATAAACCTATAACTGCGCACTAAAATAACACGTACCTTCTTAACAGTACATCATAATAATGAGCCGCCGGCTGGGATCAGGGTCCTTAAGCAGTAAAAAATCAATTTTGTGATTTTTATGATTTCGAAATCTAGAGACATTTCTGATCACAATGATATAAAAGATATGTCAGTCCGTCAATATGTAATGATTTGACGCCACTTAAAAGATACGTCATACATAGAAGTATGCTATATGACTTCTGACGTCGCTGTCAACGTCATAATTTCTATCGTTACTTTTAAGATTGATACCGGCGGGTATCATATGTATATTAATTTTAACTGCTTATTTCTGGCTTCACTCCAGATGTTACGGTTCGGGTTAGAGCATGTTTGTGAAGGGAAATTCCAGAGCAGTTAAACGGAAATAATAAAATATGTTATTAAGTCATACACAAATACTGAAATGTTAAACAAATAGGGTTCCATATGACCATTGTACAAATAATACTTCTGTACTTTTGAACTTTGAAGACTATCATCTCTACTGTTTTCTTCCGGTTATAGCTGTGACAAAAATATGTTTACAACAAAATCTTGAATCAGTATTCACAAATCTATACCACTTTGTAATGACCATGACATACATGAACTAAAATAGAGATTTGACGTTGCAAGCGTGGTCACTATCTTTTACGTCGCAACTTTGAATGTCAGTCATGCCCATCTTAACGAGTTTTTAATGTATTGAAGAGATAATATCTAAAAATGCAACGAAGAAAACAAATCAAGAAAAACATGGCTTTCTGTGTTACGGATTAATTACAATTTTTATTTCTCTTTAGCGTATATATTCTTGCGACACTTTGGTCAAAACTAGTACAGGAATTAAAGATAAACTTTATTTATTTTACAACAATATGAAACAACATATTTCAGCTTATTTATTTTTATTTATTTTTTTTGGGGGGGGGGGGGTTATTGGAGGAAACTGGGTACCCAGAGAAAACCAACGTGATCTGGCAGGTGACCCAATATCTGTTCACATCTGGTTGGGGAATTGAACCCCGGCCGCCTTGGTGAAAGGCAAGTGCGCTATCCACTTCAACACCCAACCACTCAGTACAGTAGAATCATGTGTATTAAGTATTTGACCATTCTATTCTAGTTGAATATGCTGGTATACTTAGCCTCAGACTTACCCCATGTACATATTTGAGGTTGATGAGGTCACTTGTTCCAACAGTACCATTTTTCATTTGAATGAAAAACTTCAAAATCTTGCTGTTTTAATTTAGTGATTTTTTTTCTCAGATATTTGTTAAACATCACTTTCAGAAAACAAAACAGGCAGTTTAGTTAAGGCACAGACTATGTTTTTCCTATATTCAATACTGGTTTTTTTGTAGGTAATGAATAACAGTTCATTTCCCATCAATTTATTGGCCAAGGAAAATTTCAATACTCAAATCACATCACTACACATTTTGGCCTCACCTTCTACCTCCAGTAAACACTTTGACATGATGAAAACCTTAGAAAACTTGTACATCCACAGAAAGACCGTCCTTAGGCCAGTACAAATGGACTGAATAGTCACTTAAATGCACTATTAGTCTAATAAGTAGATTGTTAACACAGTATGTCATCATTCCTTTGTTTGGATAGATCACCAATATGAGCTTAATTACATCTAGTGTAGGCAGAGAAGGTCCCTGGCCTTTATCACCACTTTCTAGAAAACCTTCAGGAATGGCTTTGCCTATCGTAACTGGTCTCACATCAGTCTCCTCCCCGCCAAGTGCAGGTTTCTCCTTTAGTTCCCCTAAAATGAACATTTAATATACATATCAACAGAAAGTATATGAATTAAAAACCAATTTATATATACCTGGTACACACAAGGTTTGCTGATCTATGCTACACAATATATAAAATATACAGCTATATTATGAAGTAAAACAGTTTTATAAAAAAATGCATTCTCAACACATTTATTGGACGTTAAAAAACATTATACAATCAGAAACGATGGATTTCAGGGGGCTAAATTACCGAGTTATCGTTAGGTATTTAAGTTTTATGAGTACACGTATGAAGCTCTCGGCGTGTCACATATGTCTACATGTACGTAGGACTTCGACCGTGTAGCTGAATACGACCAGCCCGGATCATATTGCTAATAAACATTGTTTCACCGACATGCTGTTGTGCATGTGATGGTATTATCAATTACGTTAACAATGATACCTCTATATTACTTTATATTAAACAAGAAGGTGCCCCTAAAAAGTTCAGTTTATGCATAATCTATGACAAAATATCAAAAGAAAAGTTTGCTGAATTGATATTTGATATGAAATCCATAACTATCTCGCTAAAGATTGATGAGTCGTATAAAACACGTATAGAGACATATTGACCAGAAAATATTTTACCAACGATCAAGCGCGAGGGTGTTTTACAAAAAAAGATTGAAAAACAACAATTGCAAATCAATGAATCACATGCTCAAGTTTCAAACTTATGAAGTTCCCGATCGAATTCAGGGTTTATGCACTTTATACTATTCATCAGTCTCAATACTATGATGTACCACGTAATTAGATTAAGTCTAAGTTCGTGGATGGTGTACGTAGAAAAATGAGTTCCCGAGCTCTTTTGATGGTCGTTGGTACCGGTGACTATGAACTGGCCGCGCACGCGCAAAATTTCAAGCTTAGTTTCCTGCGGAAATTGTCAACATTTGATAAAGCTCTAAAAGTTAAAAGTTCCCAAAACATGTGTGCTAGAAAACCGACTTTTGTTTTTACTTCTACGAATGATATGTTAACAATACCGCAGGAATCGCTAAAAATATGAAAATACCGACGGTATTAAGCATTAAGCTGTATCAAAAGTTATTTTTTATCTTATTTTTTATTTATAAGTCCTCAAATAAAAACGCAGTATTTATATGTTTTCAAACACATTACATATATATAGTCACACGAACATATATTACGGACAAAGAGTCCGTAGCGATCTGGTAACTTCTACAAAGAATGGAACTGAAAAAAAAATCATCCATGGAACTAAAATAAAATCATCCATTCTGACGAGGAAAACAACAAATAATAAAACAAACAAAATGCTAAACCAGTGTTTACACAGCAATATTATCCGGGGTGGCCGTGTTCAGCAATGCGAAGTCCTTATATATGTGTGCACAAATGTGTGTAGTCCGAATTATTCTGACGTTTTATCGACTTTTTTAATATCGGTCTGTCGTCGATTAACGTCAGAACTCCGGCCCTCTATAATATGCGGGAAATATGCGCCCCGCGCCCGGAGCGCACTTCAAACTGATATTTTAGGAACAAATCGTCACTTTCACACACATGACGCACATGGATCGGAAGAAAAATATATTTTCTGATGTTGCTTACTTTATAGGTTAATCCACGGACTTAGATAACAATCTAATCTAATTCCGTGGTTAATCTTAGGGGCTAAGTCTGAAGACGCTTCACGATCTGCGGAGTTCAATTCGCACACGTGTGCCACGCCGCCAATCGCAAAAAATAAATTCACCATAACTCGGTCGTTTTTTCATATATCTAGCTTAAATTTGGAGTATATATCAATAAAAGTCTTATTCATAACAGATCCTCTGATGTCGCTTACTTTAGTAAGAGTTTTTAAAGATATTGCTTAGTGACGCTTTCTTAACTGTACAGGTTATTACACACACATGCCACGCCGCAGATCGTAAAATTCAATTCATCATAACTCGGTCAACTTTTCAAATATCAAATTTCATGATATAAAGGTGTATTATAGTCATTTTGACAACAACTCTCCTGATGTCGCTTATTTTATTCGGTAATTTTATAGATTTTGTCTGTCGACGCTTGTTGTCACTTGAAGACGCTTTCTATTCATTTAAAGTATTTGGTCATTTATCTCATTATACAATTTAAAAAAATACACATATTTTTCTTAATGTTTACATACCTCATATTTTACAGCATGTTTTTATTTTTTCTGAGTGTTCCCTAGCTGCGATAACGTAGCTTTCTGACGACGACATTTTTTTAATCGGGGCTGAAGAGGCCGGGTATTAATATATGTATTAAGTGTTGCAATGCATCCGAAGAACTGCATCAAAAATGCGTCCTTACATTCTCGAGATAATGCACATTGATATAATTTCAGTACAGAAAACATGACTAGTCGATTGACTTATTTGTGTTTTGTATAAATGTAGACGTGCAAGTTAGCCTGCACCCCTTGTCCCACACGCCAGAACTTGGCCAACATTTAGCACGATTACTAGCCGAAGAAACGGGAAAGAAGTGACTAAACAGATCGTCTAGCTCTGAAGCTATCACACTATCACATAAATTCATATACTTTAAATTGGGTTGAAGATAGGCTGCTACATGTCACAAGTTTAAACGCAGCCACTGTGTCTGTCATCTTCCGTAGCGAATGTAAACAATCTACCGGAAGTGTGCACACCAGAAAACGGAAATCCCTGTCGCTTGGATATTTAAGTCAATTTGATTAATTATTGATATCTAAAGTGTATGATATTGTTTGAATAATTAAGAGATAGCTTTCTAGTTTCAGTAGTTACATTATATATATATGCTTTGAGAATAATACAAGTTATATTGTACATTTTTGTAAAGCAAGTGGGATTTCCGTTTTCGCGCGAAACAGAAATAGAATAGAAATATGACGTCTGTCGGAATTCCCGTTTTTCTCCCTTTTCATTTGCTAGAAGTTGAGGACCCAAATCCCAGCCGGCGGCTCAATTAATAAGTATACAACAGTCTTAGTAATAATGATGTGAATCAAACTATGAAGTGTTGTTCTGGGTACATTTGTCACTGTACAAAAAGTAAAAAATACGGTGAATGATATACATTGTATATATGCGATATCGGAAAAAAACGGTTTATGTATATCAATATTTATTGCCAACATTATTTCATAGTAATGTTTTACAGTTATCAATTGTTCTCCTCCTTTGGAAATTGAATACGATGTGATACCGAAGAAGAATAGCTACATCTATAAAGATACTGTGACGGTACAGTGTAAGGACGGGTTTGAACTTCAGGGCACTAATACCCTTCAGTGTGGACTTGACGGCACGTGGGGAAGACACCAGTCCTTGTGTTCAGGTACGTACGATAAAGGAATACTACTTAGAATCAGTTTACCAATACATATATACATTTCTATCATAGCATACATGTCTAATTTCAATATCACGAATTCTAAGATAACAATGTGGTTAACGCGGGTTTGATTTATCCTCGGATGTATTGTATTTCTTCTCATAGTAGCGATGAGAACTTTCACTCTCACAAAAAAACACTCTGTTTTATGATTTTGATATCTTGAGCATATGATTTCGTTTTAAGTGACAAAATGTACTTTTCAGAGGTGAAATGTTCAATCCCTTCTTTAAGTAAATTTCACGTGGTAAAGATGGACGGCAGTGCCTCGTTGTCAGTGGGAGGGATGATATACGTTGGCTGTAATAATGAGACATCTGCCGGATTTATTAACCTAATGTGCACAAAAGATAAACGATGGAATGCATCGCTACCAACTTGTGACAAAATCAAAGGAAAAGGTAAATATTTCTGCGGGATAAAGAACTTAGCTCGCATTATTGTTATTTTATTAATCTATTTATTTATGCTCTATATTATCCAATAAAATTCTTGATAATCCCATTATTTATATCTAAATGGTTCTTAAATTGGTCATTACTTATTTCACATTAGCCAATGTCATGATATTTTTCCAGAAACTGACTTTGCGTAAATTGCATTTTTGTACAGCTTGAGAGTATCATTACTTCATCTAAAATAATTCGGGGGGAAAACTCGTTACTAGTATGCTTCAATAAAAAATGCTTTATGTACATGTATATATAGCTTCGTAACTACACAAACTATCTACTTTCTAGCTATGTTAGCTCCAATGACGGCAGGAGCAGATGAATTAACTGACCTCGATACAGGTATCATAGCGGCTTGTGTAGTAATATTTCTCTGTACAGCAATCGCAGCAGCAACATATTTTCTTATAAGGTAAGCATTAAACGTATACAGATAATTCCAACTGAGGTACTACGCAGATGACAGAATTCATAGGTGAAACATTCAATGATAAATTAATACAAAACAAATCGGTTTTTTTATTTTATATTTGATACTAATTTCACTGAATAAAAACGATCAAGATTTGTTTTCTCCGGAATAACCCGCTAACTTTCAAACAGCTCCTGTAAGTAACACTACAGTTAACAATTGTCCTAAAAATAGACATGCGTTCCAGCCAAGTTACTGAAATAAACAAATTATATGTCCGTTACTTTTTGTAATGTTTCTAGTGCATTATATACCAAAATTGAAAACAAAAAAAACAAAAAAATGAAGAAAAAAGAAAAAAATGACTTATTTGAATCAAGATAAACCATAAGACCAAGAAGCCCTGATCAAAACATTAAAAGAAAATATATATATTTTTAATTTTTATCGAAATGTGAGTCTATGGTAAAATAAGATAACTGCAAAAACCGTTTTTGGTAAGGACAGGGTTTACATACGTATCGCCTTAACCTTTCCTATTTTAGGTTCCGATAAAACATCCGGAATGTTACACATTCATTGCAAGAAAATGTTGTTTTCAAGATAATGTAAATATATGTATCTAGTTGTATCATCTGTTACAGGAAATTCAGGGAAAAGTCAAGAGGAAAGAGTAATATAGCTATTGATTATAAGGATATGGAAGATGGTAAGTTATCATGATTTATTGTTGAATAACAGACTGTATACCATAATGACTATGAGATATAGAAAACAAGAACCAAGGCGCTTCCAAAGCTTTGTAATTCAAACTATTATCCTCAGAGTCAATATGTATGTTCCACATCTCAGAGTCAATATTGGACATTTTCCCTGACACGCCAAACGTATTAAAAAACATTTATACAGACAGCTATATTTAACTTTTACAATCATTAAAGTTCAAAGGGTATATTTTTTTACAGAAATTATCTATCAAGGCTGTTGTGGTGACGTAAAAGAGTTATTTTTGCATGTTACATTTTTTGGCAGTGGTACGTGTATTATTGTGTAAAAACAATAACAATAGCCAAACAACTTTGTTTTCTTTATTTCGTTTAGAATTGTGAGGACGTCAGACATGGTGTATACCCTAAGTGCTTGGAACAGTTATGGCTTTGTGTTTATAAAATTCTACAAACAGAAACTGTCTCAAAATGTTAATACATATATTTGAATGTATTTAAATGATAAGTGAAACATCAATCTGGTGAATATTAGGGAAATATGTATGTTATATAGAAATAATGTATTGGGCCGGTCCAGTCTATATGAACTTACCATTATAACTGCTGGAATAAATTAATTGACAATTCCCGTGTCTCCTTCTTCAAAGGGACACAACCCCGGTTTCCTTATTAATCGACATATCGCATGCATACTTATTTGGATATGTGTGAATATATTTATCATATTCAACCATGAAACATGGCATGTGTTATTATGTGAAGAGCGTATTTACAATAAACTTTTTTAATGCTTACAATTGCATACTTGTTACCTTAAAAATAGCTTTGCCTTTTTGCCTTTTTCATTTGATTTTTTCTTATTATGAGCAAAGTAAAATAATTCTTAGTGTCAAATGAAAAGTTAAACCCTGAGGATTTGTGCATCTCATTATTGAGTTTTATTTGTGTGGGGTGTTTTTTTACGAATATTTGTTTCGTATTTTTAAATGTCTATCTGAAAATAGGAGATCAACATCAAACACAAAGGATCGCGAATTATACTGAGCCTTGTGTCAGACATATGGTAGTGTTTTATTGCGTTTCTTATGTAGTGGGATCTGTCTAATCCAACTCTAAAATGTAAACGAAGGAAAAAAAGAAAATATGGACGTAGGAATTACACTATTTAAGTTATAGTTTTAAAGTTTTTATTCGTCTAGGTTTCTACAAAGGCATTGTCTCTGAGAGTATCATTACGGTATGGGTATTTTGATAAGAAAAGTATGGGTATTTTTATATCAATATGTTAATTAAGATATAATAAAAGTTGTTTGACTTGCTCATATAATGCACTTCGTATATTTTTACCTCAGTTATATTTGTCGCCAAAATACCCGGTATATCTAAGCTGTTTTTATTTCTCTTCGTCAAACACCTTAAAAGGACCGAAGTTGATCTTGACATTTGTTTGCAGTATTATAAGTCTTCATTGTGAAATATAATACTGCGCTAGATATCCATACTCATATATGTATTAGTTAAAAGCCATTTTATTTTCAAGTGTTTATTCCAATAGATAAAATGCTAGAAATAACATAATGTCAATACTGAAGTAAAAACATTAAACGAAAATCAAAAACTATAAAAAAAACAACAGCAGCCGATGAGAGATTAAAGCTGGAAAAAAACACCATTTAACAAGACGTCAAAACAAGGGGAAAGACAGAAGCAGCCGTGAAATACCAAAACAAAAGGAAGCGTGACAACAGATACCATAACCAAAAAGAAAAGCAATCGAATCCGAGGAGGTGTTAAACAAAAGGAAGGACAATAGCGTCGACGGAGATTAAAAAAGGGAAAGAAAAAAGCATCCGAAGAGAACAAAATCAGAGAGAAAAACGTCAGCATCCGAGGAAACAAAGGTAAAAAAACACTAACCGAAGAAAAAACAACGATAAACTCTACTGTTTCGGATAGGGAAGCGTTTCTTGCAATGCATATAGCACACGTCTTGATATCGCCTGTCAAACTTAAAATCGTTATTAGTTACCAAGGTTCGTAATCAAACTCACCATAGTTTTAAAAGCGATATACGCCATAAATATTACGTTTAATTTATACTGCTGGAGAATACCCTCATCACCTATATATATTCAACATCGTAAACGTTAATTTTCAACAACTCTTCTACATGTGTTTGATATTATATTCTTTTGATATCAAATCTCGCTGGTCAACAAATCACCTTTATCTAACAGTTTCATATAACATCATATATCATCATTAAGTACCTCCTTTGTTTGTTAATATTTTAATATATAATGGTAACCTAGTTGGTTTGACCTGTATTTCAAATACTATTGTTACTTGAAAATATAAAGTCAACAATGTTTACGATGGGAAACCTTACAAAGGTAGCTCTAAGGTCCCATTAATTGAATCTTATACTGTTGTATATACCTTTTATCTTCGTGTAACAGACTTTGTTTACAAAGAGTCAATACTGTCGATTTCACTAGAGAATATTTGTTAAAGGGTAGCCTTATAACCTCCTACACTTTTCTTACTTGACACCGAAGTGCGCAGGACGAGTGATAAAACATCATGAATTGATGTTGACATACATCCATTCTGTTATCAGTCTAGTTTAAAAGTTGCTATGGTGTCATCTCGCAACACTTAAACACTATAATTAATTCCTGTTTTTTATTAACAATTTTGACTGACGTGGGAATGTATCATTTATCTTACCACATGCATACTCGAACCATTCTGTTACCAAAACCTATAATAATTGACAATTATACACTGTTTGGGATTTTGCCATCGAACTAATTCAGGACACCACTGGTAGGTATTATATCAATCCACCGGTAATATCTTTGATTGATTATCCAATTCACCCTCGATAGATTTTTTATTGTAGAATACACTATGCAGAACCTCTGGGTGTCTTGACACATTTGATATAGAACCACCGATACATTAATTGAAGCCTAGGAGATCATTTTTTCACTTAACACAGAAATGAATACTGGCCTTTTTTTTACTTACTCTTGATAGTGTCCGTTTTCTAGCAAAATAAACAAATTCGTTTAAGTATGATATTATCACATTTATGTTTCAAAAATAGTAAAATAGTGGTTTCATCATTAGATCATTTCATATTCGGGAAAGAATAAATTCCGCGTAAACTTTCAATGAGACTGATTTCTCTTGATTCTTCTACGAGTTTTGATTCGGTTGAAAATTGCTTTGTTGCGGATATAACAACACGAAAATAGAAAGGGATTCACTCTCTACATGCGCTGACCGATATATTATGTGATGTTGTGTTGGATTTGATGTATGATACATTTTGATGTCTATTAATTAAACTGTTTTCCGGAATGTAGGTCGACTTCATTTCCTTAAACATATGAAGCAAAATAAGCGAGAAAAAGTTGATGTGACACAGTGCATTCTCTATATAACCATATTGACAATGTACTTCGATTCCTCCTCCTACGCTTATCAAATAATTGCTCATCGTCAGTTTTTGAAAGATATAAGTACATGTTTGAAGAAAGAGACCCAGTGTTTTGGATGATAGGTTTGTTACTTCTTTTACCAAGATAGCAATCAGTCCATATGTTAGCATGTAAACACATAGATAAATAATGAGTCTCCAGGTGAGTAATCAGTGGGTAAACCGTCGATATTGTCAAAATCACTTTTGTTCAGGCAGTACAACGTGTTAGGCTGCAACGTGTGAATCAATTGAAAATATACAATTACAGCAATGCTACACAATGCTTAACTGTAGGAAGAGAAAAATGGCCCACATACATGAGTCTATGTGGATGACAAACACACAACCACGCATTGTATTGATTGTTAAGAGTTCTCTTTGGTTCGTTTCTAAGTACGCCGTATCTACATAAATATCGGTCGGTTCACCTTTAACTATAAAATACAACTCGGGTATGAAAAATAGCATAATGATGTTCAAATATAGCCCATGTGTATATAGTCAGGTTACTGCCGTAACACAATATAATCACGATAACTGACAAGCCTTGTGTATATAAAGGCGTAGAAGCATGTATATAAATTAAAGGTATATTGCAGATTTGTGCGGATTGAGAGAGCTCTATTGTGTGGTTGGAAATGAGCTATAGATTTGGCACTTATCCAGGTTAGGCTTTAGTTCTGTAGAGTTTATAAGTTGTAAACAAATCCCGCTGGCAAGACTCATTCTAACTATATCGACTACTGTGAACAGACGTGTAAAAAAACTTTGTTTAAAAACTACACTTGCTTGTTAAACACAGAAACAGAACAAGCCGAATTCACAGCATGTACTGACATTTAAATTTAACGTATCAATATTTGGAAGCACTTTTATGCAAACTCAAATGTTTCGTCTTTGGATCTAAAGAAAATTAGGCAGCTGGTCCGTTCTGACCTTAAAGACTTGAACCTATTTCAGTTTGAGTGGTAATCGTTACCTCAATATGCTCGATAGTGACAGTGAACATAGTACGGGGGGATTGTCGAGGAGTCCCTCCCCAAATCAAAGGATTCCCATGAGGAGGGGATCGAACGCATTTCAGCTGGTACTCAAAGAACTAAATTTCTCTGACGATGAAAGTTTAACAAACTTAGATCCCGAGATCATGAAATTTTTGGACGGTATATCAAGAAAGCAGCTGGAAAGAAACAGTCAAGCTACCATTCTAGATTCGCCAGATGGTTCTGAATGTGAAGAATGCCCAAAATGGTCGACAGACACAAAGGAAGGGAAAAAGCGAGGGACAGGACGTAGTTCTACACGTAGACGAGGGTCTAAACACCATGTACAGTGGGTTGATGAACGTTATATTGTTCCAGTAGCATACGAACCAGATGCCACGGAAAAACATGCGGCCAGGATATACATAAAAACTATTCCAAAATCTATACTGAAACACGTTCGGGAGACGTCAGGAAAACGGCTTCTCATGACTAAGTGAGTAATAGAGATTAGAAACCCGATTCGGACAAATGCTCTCGTTTAATCAATGTGTTCCTCCTATGCAATGTGTTAACCGCAATCTGTTCAGATAAGTTGCATTGCTTTTTTAATTTCATTGTAATCATAAGCCACGATGTTCTTACAAACTAATTGGTGTGTGCTACCTATTAGCATTATATACACTTGTACTTCCGACGGCCTTTCGACCGTTGCTGTGCGCGTGCGTGCCATTGACAGTACATGTGAACGATGGAAACGTGTTGGAGATTTGTTCTTTCAATGCTCGTGCTATTGACAATTTATTTGTCGTGACTTGGAACTACGCGGAGGTCTTTGTTTGACAAAACACGTCGACCTCGATTATTTGTGAAGGCTAAATAATCAGCACCTTCACTACCTCATAACAGCTGTGAAAGACAGCGTGAATGATAAACGAAACTCATTATGTGTCTTGTATTAGTGGGAAGATATATTTCAAAGAACGATAAGCATAGAATGTGAACATGAATAACTTTCGTTATTTCAAATTTTCTGAAAGTAATTGAACAAATGAATGTCTTATATTTAAATGTATAATCTTACGGTATCTGAGAATGATATGTGCTATGTACATGTACGACCTATTTGAAGTGTTGAGAGAAATGATATATTTCAATAATGTTTCTTAAGATAAGTTGTGTATTTTGTTAACCATGTATATTGTACATGCATAAACTTATCTATCTAACAACATTTAACCAAATATGGTACAGGTGTAGCGTGTGAGATTATAATCCTATTGGCGAGTATACAGTGCTGTGTAAAATAACTTGTATATATGTGAGATGATGAGAACTATCTATCCAGTACGGTGCTAATAAGCAATGCATCACTAAGCAGCTTTAGGTGACTGCAATGCAATGTATAATTTTATGAACTAGTCGTGTATTACGCGGTTGTTAGTAATACTATATTTTATGAGTGATTGTCATGTAATGGTAGCGAGCGTGTAAGTTTTTTTTTATATTTTATATAATTTGTACTTATTAATGATATTTTGTAATGCAAATAAACAAAATCTATACTAAAAATCATTTTCCTTTTCCTTTTTATGAATTTGATAATATGCTAGATGAAGTATTATTGTCATCACAACTCGATAGTTTTGGCAATGAAGTAATCGGTTTCTGTGAGTGTTAAAGGGAACCACCATCCACGATTTTGTAACTGTTGTTAAAAATAACAGAAATATTATCACTGGGTATTCTAATGAAAGTGTCATAAACTTTTTAAAAACACAAATCTTTATTGAAATTAGACTCTGGTTTTACAGAGTCTGTTTAGTTTGTAGATAATCTACCACTAAATGTGAACAAATAAGAATTGTATTGGGCTATTTATGATTGGTCTTTAAACAACTATAATACTAATATTAAAAAACATTTGCATGTGAAATATAATTAAACATGTCAAAGCTCGTTTCCTCAGCTGAACAAGTGGTGCATTGTTAGTTCTGATGTTATCGAATATTTGGTTTAGTTATCATTTTACACCTCAGGGTGGTTGGCTCTGCTGGTTTATATGACAGTCTACTTTTGCTAAATTCCAGCATATTTGTGGAGCACTCTTGACGTTGATGTTTTCATTCCTTTGAGTTTTTTGATGAGTCCAAAATGGACTAAACGGCCATATGGCCCAGTAAATGTTTACTTCATCAAGCTTTCTCCATCCATAATATACATTAAATAGGTATTACTTTTATGTATAGATACTATTTCAGATAGAATGAAGTTTAATATTAACCAATGTTTAAAGAATTTGATGTCATTAATGATATATTCAACTCAATTTCGAATTCGATCCTCTCCTTTTAGTAAA